AGGGCGGCTTACAATGTGTTAAGCAATAGCCTTTATACTTTTTGTATATTTATACAAAGTCAGTTTATTGCCCCCACAATCTGGGTCCTCATTTCACCTACCTTTGAAAGGATGGAAGGCTGAGTCAACCTTGAGCCTGGTGAGATTTGAACTTGCAGTAATTGCAGGCAGCTGTGTTAATAACAGTGCTTTAGTCCACTGTACTACAGGCTCTTAAGTTTGATTATACTTAATATATTGATATGGCCACCCCATCCACCAAGGAACTCAGGATGGCAAATGAAATGAAAAACGGTTTGGCTAAACGTCATAATTTACGCTGTTGGTGTAGCCCAGATGCATTACGAGATTCCTTCATGACAGAATTACAGCTCCCTCCATGTCCTTTGATCACAGTGGGCAGGACTCAGCTAGGAGGGAGGTTGGGGGGGAGAAGGTTGGTATGGAACATTTCCCCCAATGCTCAAATTTTATGCTGTTGCTCACATTTCTGGACCTTAATGCACGTGTGAGTTTCCTGCACATATAAAAACACATATTTTGAAGACGTTGTGCTCTTTATTCCTTGCAAACATGTTACATACCTTTCTCAGTCACTTGGCATCATTATTTGTGGGAGGAGCTTGCCTACTTCAGCCAGAAGCTTCAGTTTAAACCAGGTCAGCTTTAGAAGGTGCCCCCCCCCATTTAGACAGACAGATAAACAGAGTGGAAGGGACCGTATAGGTCATCTAGTCCACCCCCCCCCCCCGCTCAAGCAGGAGACCCTACACCATTTTTGACAAATGGCAGTCCAATTTTTTCTTGAAAGTCTCAACTGATGAAGCTCCCACAACTTCTGAAGGCAACTTCTGTTCCATGGGTTGATTGTTCTCACTGTCAGAAAATTCCTCCTTATTTCTAGGTTGAATCTCTCTTTGGTCAGTTTCCATCCATTATTCTTTGTATCACCTTCAGGTGCCTTGGAAAATAGCTTGACCCCATCCTCTGTGGTAGCCCCCTCAAATATTGGAAGATGCCATCATGTCTCCCCTGGTCCTTCTCTTCACTAGACTAGCCAGGCCCAGTTCATGTAACCGTTCTTCATATGTTTTAGTCTCCAGTCCCCTAATCATCCTGGTTGCTCTCCTCTGCACTTTTTCTAGAGTCTCAACATCTTTTTTATAATCTAGTGACCAAAACTGGATGCAGTACTCTAGGTATGGTCTTACTAGGGCTTTATAGTTTTATAGAGTGGTATTAGTACCTCACTTCATCGTGATTGTATCCCTCTGTTAATGCAATTTGGGATTGCATTGGCTTTTTAGCTGCCGCTGCACACTGCTGGCTCATATTTAGCAAACTCCGCCTTCCTGGTTCTCGTGAGATGCAACCAGACTTTCTCTGAGTCCCACAAAGGCCTTCCACAATTGCAGAACCCAAACGGTTGGGGGGGGGGCTCCATCTCTGCAGACAGATGTTCAGGTTCTCTGTGTGTCACTCCCCCAGACTAGGTACTTCAGCAGAAAGGCATGAAGAAAACACCACACACGCACACACGTGCACATGCTAACCAATAAGGTTTTAAGGAAGGTTTTAATATGTAGTAAGCTTCAAACTTTGTATAGAAACTATTATTTTGATGTGAGCTGAAGTGGATGCATTTTATGCCATCCTAAACAGTAATTAACTCTGATAGAACATTTTTTTTCTATTCTAAATATTCTAATCCATATAAATAACAGAATGTTAATCTTTTCTAAATGTATTATATGTTTGTATGGAATATTGTATGCTTGTATGAAACAGAATGCTTTATAAGAAGATTTATAAGAAATAATGGGAGGGAGGGACCCACCTCTGCACCCAGCCCCTTCACACTCCCGCCCAGAGAGTCAGTCCTGGCAGTGGCTGTAAGGCTGTGTCAGGGGTGTCGTTTGTCCCCACGTGGATCATAACTAAAACAATGTGTGTTTCAGCAAAGATTCTTATCTCAAAAGACAACTGTCCCTTCTAGAAGATGATGATAATGTAGCTCCAATTGAAAGCCAATTATTTTTCTGCACAATGTTCAGCAAAATCTGATTGTGATTCAGCTGAGAACTATTAAAATTCTCCTATAAATATATCCATGTTTATCTGAAGCAGATGCAGCCCTTGCGCTTACTCTGGGTTCTGAGGGGAGAAAAGGCAGCATCTGTTTCCACAGGACAGGTTGGTGTAATGGAAGCTCAGACCTGCCAGCCCAGGCAGAAAAAGCCAGCCAGGACCCTCCAAGAATGCCCCCTTTCTTTTAGGCTCCACAGACTCAGAGCTTTTCTTCTAGCAGATGCTGGAAAGACTCCCACCTGGGAGCAGGGAGGGAGGAGCTGCTCATGAGCTACAGGGACCTTTGTCCAAAGCAGGTGAAACTGTCCTTGTGGCTGTAGGTAATTTCCCTTGTCTGCAAGGGAAACCAGAGATGGTCAATCTCTGCCCTGTGAGATGACCTTCCCAGGCCCAATAAATATGTTCCCAAGGAAGAGTGGGTGACTCAGAGCAGGATTTCAGGCTCAGAATAGGCCTGAGTGGGTGGGATTGAGTGAGAGGAGGAACACCCTGGCTTCAGAGAAGCTTTGTCCTGATCCTTTGATCCGGAGCCAACAGGAAGAGTTGCGTCCCAACAGCCATAAAAGGGGGAGAGAGAGAGAGAGAGGGAGGGAGGGAGGGAGGGAGGGAGGGAGGGAGGGAGAGAGAGAGAGAGAGAGAGAGAGAGGAAAAAGAAAAAAGAGAGAGAAAATGTTCACCATTCTCTTGTGTAAAAGAGGGAGAAGCAAAAGGGATGTTCAGGCTTATTCTGATCATTCCAGTCTAGAGAAGCAATACAAGGATGCAAGAAAGTGGAACTCAAGCTTAACTAAAAAATAATAATAAATCTGATGGGACGCATCCGTCACTCAGGCTTTAAAGAAAAGATTAAGCTTCCATATGGAAAAATTTCTTTCTCACCTCTTTTTGCAACAATCATTTTTTCTCTGAAACCAAGTCACACATGATGCAACCAAGAAATAAGCACAACTTACTTTGATGAAGTTCTTACTTTTCTTCAAATATTATAATTGGAATAGTCTGGCTCATTTTTTCTGAATCATCACCCAAAATCCCACCCACCCAGGATTGTCTCCTGAAAACCAGTTTCCAAGGCAAACACTGATTTCAGAAAAAATTCCCAGTTCACCCAGTGCCAGCACACGGGCCCTCATCCCCAATGGATGGAGCAGAGGATTGGGAGCCTCGGGTTTTGCTCTGATGCACATCTGGATTCACCCTTTGCATCTCTTACTAAAGGGAAAAGTTCTTGCTGCAGAAGTAGAGAAAAGCAGATGTGACCTGAGCCCTCTGAGGAAAATTTTGACCACACTGGGCTATGGGAAGTACTCGCATGCTCATTTTCCCAGGTTGGCCTAAATCCAGGGTTTGCTTGTAGTTATCTCCAGGCTGTGTTTCTTAAGGCCACCAAAGACCCGTCCCATCTGGGAAACTGATCCTTAGGTTATTTGTTCTCTTTGGTGAAAACAATGCAAGGAAGGGTGAACTGGGCGTGAGGCTGGGGAAGGGAGATTCAACTTGGCTACCAGATTTATTTTTTAAAAGGGGATCAGAAGACAGTAGCACTGCACAAGGACCGAAGGAATTGTGATGCACGTAAAATATACACCTCCTGTATTTGCCTTCCCCAAATTATAACAAAAACTAATACAAACCTAGGATTAACTTGAACATTTCCATCCCATTTGAAAGCAAAACTCAGCATGCCATAATGCGCTGCGATCCACCAACTGACTTCGGTCATGCTTTCCAGGCTGTCTGAATACAGAATAACAGATATGGAAAGGACCTTTGAGGTCTTCTAGTCCAACCCCCTGCTCAAGTAGGAAATCCTTTATCATTCTGGACAAACGGCTGACCAATTTCTTCTTAAGAATGGAGACAATTTCTGGAGGGAAGCCATTCACTGGTTAATTGTTCTTGCTGACATGAAGTTCAGCAAGTGAATCTGCTTTCCAGGGGTATCTGCAGGTTCTGATCAATGTAGTGAAGACGGTGGCTACAATGGTGCAATCGACACCCCTGTTTTTATGTGCATGGAGCAGAGTTTGGGGGCTGCCACCTTGACCCCTCCGTGGACACCCACAGCTTCCTGTGAGTAGACAGGCCGCCTGCCTTTTTCGCTGTGCGCATTTTGTACTTGAGGAAGAAACATCCTGCAGGCAAAAGGGCTTCCTTCTCCATTGAGCTAAGCTGCTGTAAAAAGTCCTTTTTCCAAGTCATCTTTCCTTTTGTGGGATCCACTTTCCAATCTCCATCCCAGCTCCTTGTGCACGTACAGAGTTTGGGCAAGACGGCTTTGCAAACAAACAAGGCAGGGGGAGGGGGGAGGGGGGGCTGGAATGTTGGAAATTCAGACTAAGAATAGAAAAGCAAAAGGTCAGCCAGGCAACCTCCTTGAGGAATGGACACCAAAACAAGGCCAGGCCTCTTCCTGGAGCCCCGAAGCCTGCAGGGATACGGAGGGAGCACGAGTCCCACAGCAGAATCAGCTGGAGCTGGAAGCCACACAGGCCGACCAGACCAAAGGGGTCCCCGAGACCCAGCTGGCTGTGCTCCTTCAAGAGAGGAGCAACTAAGATGATGAGAGAGACAAAAACTTATGGTGAACTTATGTTGAAGGATTTGGGCATGTGGGGAGAAAGGAAGGGGGGTGCATGATAGCAGGATTCCAGTATTTGAGGGGCTGCCACAATACAAAGTCCATGCAACAACCACTCCCATTGAGGGCAATTCAATTGCAGGTTTAGGATCCCATCCAGTCATGGGAAATGGGTTGGCAGGGAAGCCCGATGAGTCCTGGAGCTGAGGTTGGATCCCCAGAGTCGCTTGGGCAACGTTTAGCAAGGCGGGGGGGGGGGGGGGGGGCAGCTGCTTGGTCGCCATGGCTGGGGAGTAAAACTCCTGCACACTCTACTCTGCCCCTCCCTCCGTGGCCCCACGGAGAGATGCGACTTCCAGCCTGCTGCCCAATTCAAAACCAGCGGCCTCTGCTTCAGCCCCTCCGGCCTATTTCGCCACACACACACCGGTGCACCTCCACCGAGATCAGCCCGTCCGGAAGGCACGTTGGGTGAGCGTGGGAAGCAGGCCAGTGGGGGGCGTCGCTGTCCCGGGGCTGAGTCCGCTGAGTGGAGCCGGCCGAGGGAGGCCCTGCAGGGAGCGCCGGGAGTTCGGGCCCGGGGGCCCCCGCGGCTTGCCTTGCCTTGGCGGCTGTGCAATGTGTCAATCAGGCAGGGCAGGGAGGACGAACCCTCCGGCCTGGGCTGGACGCTGAGCTTGGCCCGGGGGCCCGGTGGGCTTCGCTCTCACTGCCTTGAGAGGCCCCCGCAACTGAGGCAGGAGGGCGGCTGCCCACGCGGGTTCCGCAGCCTCCGTGACCCGATGCGTCCGCGGCAGTGGGGTGGGGGCGGGAGGCCGGACGCCTCCGCGGGGGAAGCTGCCCCCAGCTTCGCTTAATGGTTAACCGGCGTCCGCAGCCCGCGCCCAGCAGCCGCGCCGCCCAGGCCGAGGAGCGAGCAGAGCAGAGCGGCGGCGGCGGCGATGGCTGCGCGGCTGGACTCGCTGGAGCGCTGCCTGGAGCGGCACCTGCCCGCCGCCGAGCTGGCCGAGGCGAAGCGGCTCCTCTTCGGGGAGCCCCTCAGGTGGGTCGGGGGAGCCGGGCCCCTCCCTCCGCCCAGAGACCGCTGAGCTCTACGCCCAGCGTCTCCTCCCCGGCTGGCGCAGGTCCCGGGGCGTCGGGCTTGGGCGGCCGTGGCGGGAGCCCCGGAGCGCCTTCCCGCGGGCGCCTGGGCCGGTCGCTCCGTCCGGGGGTTCCCGAGCCCGACCCGGAGCGCGGCTGGCTGCGCAGGGGCGTTGCGGGCTCGGAAAAGGGCCGGGGCGAAGGGCGCTTCCTCGGGCGAAGGAGCGGAGCGGCCGCCTCTCGGGGCAGCAGAAGAGGGGAGCCTCCCGGGCGCCCCGGCCCTGGCAACTCCAGCTCTGGACTGGCCTTCCACGCTGGCCCACCCGAGCCACGGGGGTCTCGCCCGCAGGATCCCCACTCCACTTCAGCAGCCCCGGGAAAGGCCCTCAGAGGCTCCCCGTCCTTCCTGTGCCCAGCCGGCCCTCATCCCCCACGTGATGGAAGGGGGGTCTCTGTGGAGTTTCCAACTTCCCCCTTCCTTTGCCCCCCCATCCCACTCCCTCACAGCTGGTTCAAGGCGCTGGGAGGAGGAGGCGCAGCCCCCCCCCGTGTTTGTCGAGGGATTGCAGGGATTGGGAAGAAGGGCTCAGACACGAATAGCCATGTTCACTTTGAGAGTAAGAGCCATGAAGAATGATCCATGAAGTCCATAGTTGGTTCTGGCTGGGCTCATCCACAGGAGATTGTGCCTGGTGTCCCCCTGAAAAATAGGTTGTGCTTTTCAAGTGAATAAAAAGTGCTCAAAGTTTAAGGGAGACTTTTAGAAGTTCCTTTGGTTTGTGATATATCACCTGTCCCAACTTTATTCATAGTTAAGGATACATTGAAAAACTATCCTTGGTGACGCTTTAGATCCTGTGTTTGTATGATTGTATGATCCTATGATTGTATTTTACTCTTCAGTCCAATTATACATTTTCCGCATTTCATTTGGATCTAAAAAGTCTGAAGATGCCTTTATTATCTGGTAGGTAATTACAGAAAAAAGAGAGGCTTTCCTCCTTTTCTTCCAACTTATTGCAGGCCACTGGAACTGCCCAAGGAGGCTCTCTCAGCTGCTGCAGAGAGGGACTTTGAGCTGCAGGGCCACAAATTTGAAGCTGCAGCAGAGCAGCTGCGGCAGCCACGCCTGGTCCGAGTGGGGCTGATCCAGAACAAGATTCCTCTGACTACAGACGCGCCAGTCGCTGAGCAGGTAGGAGCTGTGCAGCTTCTCAAGGAGATCAACACAGCCTCCGTATTAACCATTCATCTGCAGTGGGCTTTGGACCCTGGAAGGAAGATGTGGAACCAGCACTTTTGGACAGTTGGAAACTTGGCTTTCTTCTTGCTGCACCCTCCGCATGTTTATCGGGGAGCTGCTGCCTGCTCCTCGTCTTGCAAGTTTAGAGAAGGGTGGTGAGATGGTGGGGCAGCCTGAGTTTTGGGGTGGGCTCTAGGCCACTGAAGCTACAGATACAGATCCTCAGATATCATCCACAAAAGATGCTTCCTCCTTCAAAAGGCAACAAGGAAGTTTGGGTGCCCATCATTGGGTAACTCATGTTACCCAGTAACATGTATCTTCAGTACAATAAATTATCCAAAAGTCATTTTGATGAAGTGCACAACAGCGGAGGCTGTCCTCTTTTCTGTCTTCTTTTGATAACCTTCTTGTTACTCAAGACTTTAGTTCTGTGCCTGGCATGTGACTTCGAGGTGTGCGGGTCCTATGGCCACTGGGATGCCATCCTGGCTCTGAGCACTGGCTTGAAGTGAGCAAAATGCGGGGCACCTCTTGTCCAGCCAGTGGCAAAGGAAGCCCTTCTTGGGATGATGAAGAAGCAGCTGCTCGTGATTCCAGGATGTCCCTGGCAGCAGCCCCTTTGGCGTGGGGGGATGCTGCCCCTTTTGCTGGGTTTAGAACACAGGTGGTATTTAGCAGGTTCTGACCAGGTTCTGGAGAAATGGTAGCGGAAATTTTGAGTAGTTCAGAGAACCGGTAAATACCACCTCTGTCTGGCCCCATTCCCATCTATTCTCTGCCTCCCGAGTCCCAGCTAATCCGGAGGAAATGGGAATTTTGCAGTATCCTTCCCCTGCCACTCCCACAGAACCGGTAGTAAACAATTTTGAATCCCACCCCTGGTTTAGAACATTGTTAGTCTTATTCTTCAAATAACTGCTGGCTCTTATTCTCTCAAAGAGGGCGGGGGGAGATGCTCCTTTACATCTTTTAAGAGGTTTTTAAGTATGGAACTCACTAAAACCGCTCTTTCACAATCCTTGGGCATCTACCCCTTTCCTCACTTGGCATTTTCCTGTGTTTTTGAGCCGGAGGGGGGAAGGAGAGTAATAGTAATTTATTAACACTCTGTGTTGCTTTAACCTGGGATGTTGCTTCTACCTAGGTAACTGCACTGCACAACCGCATACAAGAGATTGTGGAAGTGGCTGAAATATGTGGAGTAAATGTGATCTGTTTCCAGGAGGCTTGGAGTAAGTCCCAGGTGGTCTCTGTGCTCAACCTCTGCCCACTCAAAGCCCGGATTCATAGAGTAGTTCAGTAACCTGACAAATGTTGGTCTCTGCCCCCCACAGAGAGGGCTCGCAATCTGGGTGTCCTCCTGGACGCACGGCTGTCTTTAGAAGAGCACATGACGGCCGTGGCCAGGGGGGCCTTTTATCAGGTTCGCCTGATCCGCCAGTTGCAGCCCTTTCTGGACCGGGACGCCTTGCGCACGGTCACTCATGCCCTTGTCACCTCCCGGCTGGACTATTGTAATGCTCTCTACATGGGGCTCCCCTTGAAGAGCACTCGGAGGCTCCAACTGGTCCAGAATGCGGCCGCGTGGGTGGTTATGGGCGCAACCCATTGTGCCCGTGTGACACCCCTCCTGCGCGAGCTGCACTGGCTCCCAGTGGTCTTCCGAGTGCGATTCAAGGTGTTGGTTACCACCTTTGGTCCATGGCATAGGACCTGGGTACCTTTAAGACCGTCTTCTGCCACCAATAGCCTCCCACCGACCAGTCCGCTCCCACAGAGAGGGTCTCCTCAGGGTGCCATCAGCCAAGTTATGTCGGCTGGCGACACCCAGGGGGAGGGCCTTCTCTGTGGGAGCCCCAGCCCTGTGGAATGAACTGCCCCCGGAAATACGTAAGATCTCCGACCTCCGGGTGTTTCGCTGCGCACTGAAGACCCTGTTCCGCCAGGCCGGGCTATCAACATAATAATTTTAAATTGGGGTATTTTAAATTTTTGGGGTTTTAAACTGGCCAAATCTATTTAATTATTATTTTAAATTTTAATCATTGTTGTGTCTTGTGTTTTAAATTGGCTGTACACCGCCCTGAGTCCTTCGGGAGAAGAGCGGTATAGAAATAAAATTATTATTATTATTATTATTATTATTATTATTATTATTATTATTATTATTAGATCTGGAGCAGAAGGACTGCTCTGAGCTGGCATCCATGGGGAGGGGAGGGGGGGCATGAAATAACCTTGTAGGGTAGGTTTGATTGTGCTGCAAAATAACCCTGTGAAGGGAAATATGTTTATTATGGCATAAGCCATCTTGGATGAAGAAGACAAGGGCTATTTAGCAGATAGTGGAGAGGAAACAGCCAGAGGCAAAGCTAAAAGACCAGTTGGGAGGCAGGACCAGAAAAGGCAGGAAGAGGCCAGAGGGAGAAATTCTCAGGCTGGCTAGATTGAAATGCCCCTCTTGAAAACTCCTCCCAGGTTGCAGGAACACCCCCCCCCCAGGGTCTGGTGGAAGAAGGGGGCGCTATTCCTTCCAGAGAGGTGAAGTGACTGACCAGGATGAGAGAGTACCTGATATGGAGGAGGGTCATCTTGACGTTCTCCCTCCTTCATTCTTGTGGGCAGAGGGGAGGCAGTGGAGGAGGGGCTGGTGGGACTGGGTTTTGGCAGGGTTTGCACGTGGGAAGATGCTTGTCACTCAGCCCTGTTTCCAAGTGGCAGCATCACACACAGAGAATGACAGATGTGGTCCTCTTCAAAAGACTGTCAAACAACTGAAGATGGGAAAAATAGTTTGTTGTTTTACGTTGCTGTTTTCACTCTGTTTGTAAAGTGCGTAGAGTCAGCTGGGCAAGATGGGCAGCATATAAGTTGAATGAATAAATGGCTGAATCAATTGATAGAGATAGATGATAATGAGAGAGAGGATAGATAGATCGATCGATTGATCCTGATAGGCTTCAGTAGAGTGAATGGATGGGGGATAGGCGGAAACGAGCTGATCTAAGGCCCAAACCAGTATTCCTCTGAAATTGGTTGTAATCTTTTCTGTTAGGAACTTGAGTTTTAAAATAAAATTGAAGACTATTTTGCAAATACTTGACTTGATTTTAAGGAATGAAAACCTGCAAAATCAATGCCTAAACCCTCTCCTGGTTTAGAGTTCCACCTTTGCAGAGGTGATTGCGTTAGTGGCAGAGAGGCAGAGTCAATATTTACAGGCTTCCTGGCCAGTTTAAAAGCTGCTTTGTTTAACCAGAGCAAAGCTGGTGCTGATGTCCTTTTATGCTCTTTTCACCAGCCATGCCCTTTGCTTTCTGTACGCAAGAGAAACTGCCATGGACTGAATTTGCGGAATCGGCAGAAGACGGACCCACCACAAGATTCTGCCAGATGGTAGAGAAGTCCTTTTTGCTCCCCCCTCCCTGCAAATAGTGCTTTTAACATTGTCTGCGGCACACAGTTTGGGGTCTGCATATTATTTTCCATTCATATCCTGCATTTTCTCTATACGTTCTCATCCTTCTGCAAATTGGGAGGGCTGTGACTGTCTTTTACTGCAGGAGCCAGCAACTCTTTGCCAAAAGGATCATGCTTGTGATTGTATGCATCGTCATTTAACTCAATTTGTTTATTATGAATGTGTGTTGGGAAGGAACTAACAGTGAGAAACGAATAGCCTGGGCTATTTGGCTCCTTATATTGTTTCATTCAAAAATGGATGGATAAGATAAGAATGACCTTGAGAAGAAGAAGAAGAGAGAGGCTGCATCTTTGCAGCTTTGTGCATCCAAGTGAACTTGCCTGAAAGTTGATCCTTCCTTCTTGAGTGGGAAGCATCTTGTTCTATGAAGAGATTTGCTGACTCCAAAGGGGCAAATGGTCTGCTCTGGTTCACATCTCCACTGTTACCACTAAAGTCTAAGTTCAAGAATGGGTGACTGTTAGTGTGGATTGTTAGTTGATTGCATCCTGGGGGATGTTGTGGTAACATTCAGACATATGAGATCACAAGATGACCCGAGGGGAAGGAAGAGAGAATGTAATTGGATCAATGAAATATAATACAAAATGCTCTTTCTAGAAAGGACAATAATATAATTCATTCACTCTTCAGTTGCACAGAGAGGATAATTGCTATGTTTCTAGAAAATGAACCCGATGCTCTTGGCTAATCTCGGATGGGCTTTGCGAAAGGGCAGTTCTGCTCACCGTTGCCCTTTCTGAATGAACAAACCCCCAAAAGTGCAGCATACAACATGGCATAATTTTGTTTGCAGCTGGCTAAGAAACACAATCTGGTTGTGGTCTCTCCCATCCTGGAAAGGGACGCTGCCCACGGAGGAACCCTGTGGAATTCAGCCGTGGTCATTTCCAGCTCTGGTTCTGTGCTGGGGAAGAGCAGGAAGAATCACATCCCCCGGGTGGGCGACTTCAATGAGGTGAGTTGTGGGATGGCCAGAGCGGGGGGGGCATGAAGACCCCAACTACCTCTGCAGGGCTGATGCTTTGGGGAGGGGGGCAGGAAAACATTCCGAAGTCTGGAAATGATGGTTAATCCTTCCCACTGCATTGAGAGGGAGTCGTGTGCAGGGAAGAACTCTTTCCCCACAAGGGAAAGTAGCTGATGGAAAGGCAAAGATCTCGGAGCACGTTGGATGATCCAGCTAAGCAGCCCAAAGAAAAAAATTGGCATCCAGCAAGCAGAGGCTGCAATCATCTGATCGGGGGTGAGGCTGGGGCCTTTTCCCTCCGACCTGGCAGGGCCGGGAACCTCTCCAGACATGGGCATTTGGTGAAGGATAGAGGGTGTACAGTGTTTGGTTTTGAAAGGGCTCCAGTCCAAACTTTCACATTGGATCCCATTTTGATGGCAAAACTCAAGATGAAATGGGCTATTTTGAGGATTTGAGATTCAAGTCAGAGGAGCTGCATTGTGGGGCCGCATCAGGGGGGGCTCTTGAGGGACGGAGGAGCCCTGGAGTTCTGCAACAGGTATCAGGACCTGCAATTACCTCATCAACGCCCAGCGAAGCCAGGAAGATGTCCGTGTGCCAGCAGTGGAATGAAAGGCCCGTATCTCCTGAGGGGCAAAGGTTCTCTGGAACAGGTTCCATTAGGTCTCCCTCTCCTAACCAAGCAAACAACAAGGAAGGGACAAATGGCCACCAGATTTCTAGTGACATGTATCCTCCCCCCCACCCCCAGCAACTGGGGACTCAGTTAGAATAGTTCCCTCCCTGGAATATTTTCCATGTTGCTTTTTTTACCAGTTGTACAGAAAGTTCACTTTCTACTGCAGATTTATTTTTTATTAATGCTCAGACTGTGATAGTGGAATAATCCCGGGCAAAGGACAAAACCTCCAATCACCTGAGCATTGGTGCAAATCTGTCAGCTATTAGGGAGCCAACCCACCAAGCGGCTCTGGGTTCAAGCAGACTGGGCTGGACCAGGGGTGAAATTTAAAATTTGTTACTACCGGTTCTGTGGGTGTGGCTTGGTGGGGGGGGAAATGTGATGGTGGGCGTGGCCAACTTTTTTTTTTTTACTTTTAAAAGCATTTTTTCTACAACCTTAAGGGGTTGCAGAAAAAATGCTTTTAGAAGCCTCTGACGATCAGGCAAGTCAGCTGGGATCGCCAGAGGCTTTTAAAGGCATTTTTTTTCCTACAACCTTTTCAGCTGAAGAGGTTGCAGAAAAAAATGCTTTGAAAAGCCTCTGACCATCCCAGCTGAGCCGCGCGATCATCAGAGGCATTTTTTTTTTTTACTTTTAAAAGCATTTTTTTGGCCGAAGAGGTAGAAAAAAGTAAAAAAAAAAAGGCTCTGATGATCGCGCGGCTCAGCTGGGCATCGGAGGGGCACAGAGATTTTTGCTACCGGTTCTCCGAACCACCGACCGCCATCGCTACCAGATCGGGCGATCCTGTCCGAACCAGGAGCATTTCACCCCTGGGCTGGACATAGACTGGATAGGAATATATTTGTGCAAAGGCCAGCAAAACAAGTGAAATTGCTCTTGAAAGAAATAGGTAAAGTTTTCTTTAGCTATTTTGAATATTTTCAGATGTAGCCACAGAGCTTTTACCATCAGCTTAGAGCTGTGTAGTACAACAAAGGGTTAAATGAATGAGAGAGGAGGGCCTGAAATGAATCCCTCCGCCTGTTCTGTGTCCGAACTTGGCTTGTTTTCCTTCTAATTAACTTTTTTTTTTCAAGGAAGGGAACATCAAGGAATGGAGTGTATCTAGAGAGATTTTAGAGAATCATTTGGAAATAATGAATTTGTATGTAATGGAGTGGGGAAATAAAATGTTTTGGAGGCTACATGTTTAATAAAGAAACTAAGGAAATAAAAGCAAAGGGGAGATTGAAGTCAGAGAATCAAGCCTATTATCTTCACTGTTTCTGCACTAAATTTTGGAATATGGGTAACAACATGAGATGAATATCATGAGGCACAAAGACCTATCAAGGATCCCAAGATCCCACCAGAGAAACATTGGACACCTTGAACCAGAGGAAGATGCAGCACCAAAGGGGAGGAAGGTGTTGAAGTCCTGGCTGGACCCAGTCCTGCTGGTCATGGAAGGCCAGATTATCCTTTAACCCAGACGTGGAAGGCGTCTGAGTTAAGATAAAAGGATAATCTCATAGGAAAGATGTCCTGCTGGGGCTTGGCTACAGATCATCAACCAGTTGGAATATTTATTAAAGCAATAACTGAAGCTTCAAAACACCATGAAGTGGCTGCGATGGGAGATTTCAACCACCCAGACTCATTCACAAAGCTGGGGGATCTGGCCCACACCCAGACGGAGATTGCAATCTCATCTGGATAATGTAGACGGTCTGGGATCAGCGGGACACAGAGAAATGCCAGGTATTATATTTAGGGAGGTAAAATATAGGATGCACACAGGTACACGGTGATGGATTCATGATGGAAACACCATTTAACGTCTTGGGTTAAATGCAAGGACAAAGCTTTTGGCGGTAAGTGCTGCTCTGAAGTTGAGTGGCCTACCTGCAGAGGCTTGTGGCTTCTCCATCTTGAAATTTGTGAGAAGAAGCTGGACATCAGCCACAAGGCATGGTGGCTTAATGCTGTTCCTGCGGAGGTTCCTGAGTTCTAACCGTGATTTAGTCCTGAGGTGTTGGATCATCTCTTTTACAGTCGAGATATTATCTGGAAGGGGACCGAGGACACCCAGTGTTTGAGACCCAGTTTGGGAAGATTGCGGTGAATATTTGCTTTGGTCGCCATCATCCGCTCAACTGGCTCATGTACAGTTTGAATGGAGCAGAGATCATCTTTAACCCTTCGGCCACTATTGGCAAACTCAGGTATAGTTACTATCATTTTTTTGTTGCAGTAAAATGGAATAAATAGCTGGATAGATCCCATGAATAGCAGGATTTTGCAGTTTCCTAATGAGATAGTCTCTTGGTCTGTGACTTATCTGTCATGAAGGAAAACCTTGTCTCCAGAAGCTCAGATCCTTCCATCCATTTTGCAGCACTTCTGGCATTTTCCTTAGCTTGCCAAGTGGACAGCATGTGTGGATCTCCCCCCACTTCTGCCCCCTTCAGCCAGGAGAGCCAAAAGGAGGCCATGACCTTCTCCAACTCCATTCTTTGCATCAGAAAAGCCAGAAGATATCTGAGCCGCTTCTCTCAGATCTGCTTCTTGTACTGATGAGAAGTCTGGGAGCCTTTTTCAAAACAGACTTGCAGACTTGCTAGCTTCATTTCTCTGTTATCTCCCTCTTCCTCTCCTCTCTCTATCCCTCTATCATCTCCCTCCCTCCCTCTCTCCAGTGATGGCAAATATCTGGCTTGAGTGTAGGATGAGGGTGGAGATTTGTTCTCTGAGCCTGTGTGTTGCGTTCCAAACATTTTGTTACCAGGCATCTTCAGTGGAGTTTAGGGGTGTCAGTGTTGGTGTTCCTCTGGTTATAGGAGCTTTGTGTGGTCAGTAGGTCTTGTGATGGGGAGGTCATGTCAGGTGAGGGTCTCTCTTTCTTCTGTGAGAAAACTTTCAGCTTTTTCAGTGCAGCTGGTAGTTCTCCTGACCTCCCTTGGGCTTTTACAGCCACCTGGCCAGTTCTCCAAATATTGCAATGCAACAAGACAGAGGAATCTGCTCCATTTTGTGCCTCTTGAGGGTCCAAGGCAAAACATGGGACTTTACTTGACTCATGATGGATTTCACATGTTAAGTCTCCCTTTCAGAAAAGGGCCTTCCAAGATCTGTGATAGTCTCACACATCAATTGCATAAAGCAGATGATACAGTAAGCTGATTTTCAGTTTTAGAGGTGGAATCTTTTTCATGTAAGGAAACGTTACACAAATGCAAAAGATTAAACAGCCAAATGCAACCTTCACCCATTACTGGTCTTAGTCTTAGCAAGACTAAGATTTAATGCAGAATAGTCCAAGATTATGCAGGAAAGGTAAAGGAATGCTTCATAAGCAGGTAACCTGTGTGCACGAGTTCACCCATAACTCCGCAGATAACTAGTTGCAGACAGGTTCCTCCTGATCAGGTTTTATTAACTTTATGTACTGTTTGCTGTTTTAGATGACAGATTTCTTAGACCATCATGTTTCTTTCAAGAAAACCCAGAGGAGCCTCACACACCCCTGCCCCCCCTGCCCCAGGGTTTGGAAGTTGGGTTTCCCCCGTAATTTTTCCCTATCTCTTCTTCAACTGTTGGGAGGGGAAGAAAAAGCCTAAATCATAGTTTGGATGCAACAAAGGATAGGATGAAAATAAGCAGACCTGCTTCAGCCCAAACACACCCATCAGAGGTCCTGGGTGATCAGTAGAATTCAGGAGGCCGCTGGGTTGGTTGGATGGATAATGCTGACTCCAGAAATTTAGCATGTGGTCCTCAGGTCACCACTGCTTTGGGAAAGTCAAGGGGAAGCTCTGGCACTTGCTCTTAACTGGTCTGTCATTCCAACAGTGACACTTTGAGAACTGGACTTTCCTTGAAACGTGCTGGTGCATAATGTGGCACTGGGGTTCCATCAGAAAGAATTTTGCTGGCTTCGAGTTTGCCCTGAGGCACCCGAGGAATGCCACAGGGGCCCTCTTCCCACAGGGCTCTGCTATGCTGAGTGCCCCATTGCCCAGGGGGAACATGTTGTGGCCCTCTCAAAGGGGCTCCTTCACGGAGTCTGACCCTGTTCTGTAGCTCCTGGTTTCTATGGAGCAGGTTCCTTTTTTGCTCCTGGTTATTCATGGTCTTACATGGTTTGCTGCATTTGTATGTCTGTCAGGGCGCCCTGGGCTCATTTCCTGACCAAACAAGCTGCCTGGGTGGAAGAGAAAATGTGTCTGCAGAATATAATTTTCTTGGTGGCCTTTACAGTGAATCCATGTGGCCCATCGAAGCAAGAAATGCCGCCATTGCCAACCACTGCTTCACCTGTGCCATCAACCGCGTGGGGACGGTAAGATCTTTCAGCTCTCCTTGGCCAAAGATTTGGGTTTAGAAACTGCGACTTTAGAGAAATTAGACATAATCCCCATGCTGAGGAATGGAGGGTGGGGGCCTCATGCCATGAATCAAATTTCAGCCAGTCTTAAGTTTTTTGTTAACTATATTGTGGCTATAAGTCTCTGCTAAACCAAATTGCGCTAAATATGGAGCAGTTAACACGAAACATAGTTGATTTAAGGGGCAACAGAATTCCATATATAACAAATATTTAATAAGCCCTTGGTATAGAAATTGGTAAAGATACCTGTGTGTATGCTGAAGTCCAACATGGCTCACTCAGGAATTCTGGGAGTTGAAGTCCACAAGTCATAAAAGGGCCATCCCTGCTTTAGAGTAAGAGGGGTCTCAGTTTGTACCTCTTGGCTTCTCACAGGAACTTTTCCCACACCCCTTTACATCTGGAGATGGAAAACCAGGTGCGTATGGCTTTTTCCTTGGGGGGGGGTTGATGTGCTGGCTGGCAACTGCAGGAGCTTTTTCCCACTGGTCTCCCCAAAGGAGAATGTCAGCTTGGCGATTTATTTATTTATTTATTTTGTCGCATTTCTATGCCACCCAACTCCCAAGGGGCTCTATTGCCTCCACCCACCTAAGAAAGTGATATTGATGGTAGCTGGGAAGCAACAATGGAAATACACGAGGCGGTCATGCACTGAGGAATAGTCAGACACATTATTGCTTGGGAAAGTGAGCATGAAAAGAGCCTAGAATTCCAATTGGGCACAACCCGATCATGACCCAGAAATAGAACAAGATTTTCCGCTGCTCTCCATGAACTAAGTTTGGTCAGTGTTGAACACTGGGCTTCTGAAAAGAATTCAGACAAATTGGAAAGGCTTCTGTGAAGGACAGTGATGGCAAACAGACAACCAAGAAATGTGCTGAGAACAGGAGAACAGATTGGGAACATCAGGGTAAAGTTGGGGTGAAGGACTCAGGGTGGGAAGAGCAGATTAAAGCCCATCCTCAACTGTAGAAGCTCAGTTGATGGCCAAGTCCTCTTTCCCTCTCCCTCTCCCTCTCTTTTTCTCTCTCTTTCCCTCTTTCTCTCTCTCCTTCTCCCTCCCCCTCCCTCTTTCTTTCCCTCTTTCTTTCTCCTCCCTCTCCCTCCCCCTTTCTCTCTCTTTTTCTCTCTCTCTCCTTCTCCCTCTCCCCCTCCCTCCCTCCTTCTCTCTGTGTGCAACCCAACCTACAGTTGCAAGAAAAAGTATGTGAATCCCTTGGGATTACGTGGAGTTTTGCATGAATTGGTCATAAAATGTGCTCTGAACTTCATCTAAGTCACAACAATAGAAAAACACAGTCTGCTTAAAATAATACTACACAAACATTAGATGTTGCTGTGGTTTAATGGAACATAGCATGTAAACATTCACAGTGCAGGGAGGAAAAAGTATGTGAGCCCCTAGCCTAATGACTTCTCCAAGAGCTAATTGGAGCCAGGAGTGAGCCAACCTTGACTCCAATCAGTGTGATGATATTGGATGTGTTGCTGACAGCTGTCCTGCCCTTTAAAAACACACACCTGTTTTGGGGTTACTGGTTTCAAGAAGCACTGTCTGATGTGAACCATGCGTCGCAGAAAAGAGCTCTCAGAAGACCTACGATCAAGAATTGTTGACTGCATGAAGCTGGAAAGGGTTACAAAAGTATCTCCAAAAGCCTTGATGTTCATGTGTCCATGGTAAGACAGACTGTCTACAAATGGAGAAAGTTAGCACTGTTGCTACTCTCCCTAGGCGTGGTCGTCCTGTAAAAATGACTGCAAGAGCACAGCGCAGAATGCTTCATGAGGTAAAGAAGAATCCTAGAGTGTCAGCTAAAGACCTACAGAAATCTCTGACACATGCTAACATTTTTATTTTATTTTTTTTATTGGAAAAGTTTTACAAACAACAAATTTTTCCCCCATTTCCCCCCCCATCCCTCCCCAACCCCCCCAACCCCTCCCTCCCCATGACTTCCCCAAGGTGAAATCCATCCACATTATATTATGTCATACTTTACCACCCCTCTATTCCCCTCCCTGTGCACTATAAATTTTTACATCACAATAAGCTATTTCGCCCCTTATAAACTATACATTTCTACACAACATTTAGCTAAAAACTATCTGGTACTTCCTAGTTTGGTATTTATTCTGCACATAATCTATCCAATTCTTCCACTCCCATACATAACTCTCTTGAGTCCGGTCTTTTAAGTATGCTGATATCTTCGCCATTTCTGCGAAACTGGCCATCTTCAAGGTCCATTCTTGAATTGTAGGCACATCAACCCTTTTCCAATATTGACCAATCAATAACCTGGCTGCTGTCACCATATACAATATCAATTTTGTTTCACCCACTGAAAAACCCTTGACTATTATACCCAATAAGAACAAATGAGGAGAAAATTGAATTTTTTTCTTTAAAACATTTTGCATAACCCACCAAATTTTTATCCAAAAAGCCTTGGCTTTCTTGCATGTCCACCATATATGATAATATGTAGCATCTAAACAATCGCATCTCCAACATGCGATTGAACATTAGGATACATACATGACAATTTCTTAGGATCTAAATGCCACCTATAAAACATTTTATAAAAATTTTCCCTTAAATTCTGCGACTGTGTAAACTTAACATTCTGAACCCATATTTTTTCCCATGTTTCTATCATAACTGGTTCTCCAAAATTTTGCGCCCATTTTATCATACAATCTTTAACCAATTCATTTTCTGAATCTCTCTCTAACAAAACATTATAAATCCTCTTAATATGCATTGGGCCTTTCTCTTTTATCTGTCTAACCAATTCTTCTTCATGCAGCATTAAACCAGTTTTTTGATTTTCTCTCCATCTCAATTGAAGTTGATTATACTGTAACCAAGTTAAATTAATCCCTTCTTCCAACAGTGTCTTCAATGTCTTTAGTTGCCATCTGCCCCCATCATTAAAAAGTACTTCTTTATATAACCCCCCCTCCCGAGTGACTTTATATTTATATTCCATATAATATGACCAAGATCCAACCACAACGGTATTTTATAATCCCATTTGAACCGGTGCTTCTTCCATACTCTCATCAAGGAGCTTCTAAGTATATGACTATTAAATACTTTATCAACCTTGTTTTCATAAAATAAATATGTGTGCCAACCAAATTCAAGATCGTGGCTTTCTATATTCAATATTCCAGTCTTTGTCCTTCCAAACCAATCACTTGCTTGTGTAAACGCTGCAGCCTCATAATATAATCTCAGGTTTGGAAGTTTAAGACCACCCCTTTCACGAACGACCTACGATCAAGAATTGTTGACTGCATGAAGTTGGAAAGGGTTACAAAAGTATCTCCAAAAGCCTTGATGTTCATGTGTCCACGGTAAGACACACTGTCTACAAATGGAGAAAGTTAGCACTGTTGCTACTCTCCCTAGGCGTGGTCATCCTATAAAAATGACTGCAAGAGCACAGAGCAGAATGCTTCATGAGGTAAAGAAGAATCCTAGAGTGTCAGCTAAAGACCTACAGAAATCTCTGGCACATGCTAACATTTTTGTTGACACATCTACAATAAGGAAAACAAGAATGGAATACATGGGAGGACACCACGGAGGAAGCCATTGCTGTCCCAAAAAAAATTTGCAGCACGTTTGAAGTTTGCAAAAGAGCACCTGGATGTTCCACAGCACTACTGGCAAAATATACTGTGGACAGATGAAACCAAATTTGAGTTGTTTGGGAAGAACACACAACACTATGTGTGGAGAAAAAAAGGCAGAGCACACCAACATCAAAACCTCATCCCCACTGTAAAACATGGTGGAGGCAGCATCCTGGTTTGGGGCTGCTTTGCTGCCTCAGGGCCTGGATGGATTGTTGTCATTGATGGGAAAATGAATTCCAGAGTTTATCAAGACATTTTGCAGGAAAACGTACGACCATCTGTCTGCCAACTGAAGCTCCACAGAGGATGGGTGATGCAACAGGACAATGACCCAAAGCATACAAGTAATTCAACAAAAAAATGGCTTCAACAGCACAGAATACGCCTTCTGGAGTGGCCCAGTCAGAGTCCTGACCTCAACCTGATTGAAATGCTGTGGCATGACTTTAAGAGAGCGATTCACACCAGACATCCCAAGAATATTGCTACACTGAAACAGTTTTGTGAAGAGGAGCGGTCCAAAATTACTCCAGATCGTTGTGCAGGTCTGATCTGCAACTACAGGAAACGTTTGGTTGAGGTTATTGCTGCCAAAGGAGGGTCAACCAGTTATTAAGTCCAAAGGCTCACATACTTTTTCCTCCCTGCACTGTGAATGTTTACATGTTATGTGCCATTAAACCATGGCAACATCTAATGTTTGTGTAGTATTATTTTAAGCAGACTGTGTTTTTCTATTGTTGTGACTTAGATGAAGTTCAGAGCACATTTTATGACCAATTCATGCAAAACTCCATGTAATCCCAAGGGGTTCACATACTTTTTCTTGCAACTGTACCTTGTAAGGACATTATAGGAGAATTTAGAGGGGGGCTACTTATACTCCACGAGCTGAAGAAAAGTCTCATGGGTGGTTAGGTAGATGGGCAGAGAGCTCTGAGGAAAGATTCCTGAAGAGAAGATATCAGCTGGAAAGAGGTCACACCAGCAAGAGTCAAGGTGTCCCTCTCTTGCCAGAGGGCAGGATTAACGGATTTAAGAGACAGGAAAGCAGATTCTCATGGTGCCTAAGAAAAGGAGCACTTGGAAAGCCTCAAGCTTGTATTTGGGGTGCTTGAATTTCGAACCTGATGGGCAAGGGATGGACTAAGGGAGTTTAAATGATCTCCAACAGGAGAACAATACAGCCCTGGTCACGTGCAATTGTCACTCTCCGCTGTGGTGGATCTCTTTGTTGATTATTAATAAAATCCCGTTGTTCTGTATTGATTTATGAAGCCCATCGTGACTTGGGCTATTTTTATGGCTCAAGTTACGTAGCCGCTCCAAACGGAAGTCGGAGCCCAGGACTGTCACGAACCCGAGATGGACTGTTGGTGGCAGAGATGGACCTGAATCTTTGCAGACAAGTTAATGATGAATGGAATTTCAAGGTAAGACTTCCCATCTCTCTCTAAGCTCTTCAATGTGTATGTCTGATCTGGGAATTTGGAACTCTGCTGGCTTTTATTCTTCTGAATATCATCTTTTATATGTGTGTTCTGGAGAAACACATCTGTTCTGGGAAGGTTAATATGTTGCAGGATCTGCAAAAAATTATCATCGACAATTGGAAAACAGTATTATATTCTAAGTGACCAAGGGGAACCAGACTGTTACAGGATATTTGCCATTTAGATTGGAAAAACACATTCATTATGCTCATTCTGAAGTTTTAAAACCTTTCTTTTGAAAAAAGTGCTCTAATTTAAACATGAATAATTCCATCATGATGATCCCAGTTAGTCACACACATTCCTTTAAGGAATTACCTAAGAAGATGGGAGATATTTTCAAAAATTGCCCACCATGTCACTTATTTAAGAAGACCCCCTGCTTTCCGTAAGTAGTTCAGGCTTATCAGCAGTGGTGTGGCTGCTTCTCAAAAGGGCAAGAATCCCCTCTGAACCTAGATGAACAGGACCTCCAACCCAGAAGGGCCTCTGCTGTGTGAGACCCGAGGAGGGAAATGCACCCTGTGAAGCACCAGAGACAAAGCCGAGGCTGCTTTTGGACTGGTCCTTACAGTTTTGAGCAGTTTCTCTGGCCAAAACACCTCTGACCGGTCTCAGCTTCAGCGGTGAGTTGCTTAGCTGCAGACATTTTGCATTATTTCAGAAGAAATCCAGAACCTTCACCTGGTGCAAAATATGTTTGGAGTCTTAGTGGAAAACCAGCTAAATATGAGCCAACAGAGTGCGGCGGCATCCAAAAAAGCCAATCAAATCCTAAATTGCATTAATAGAGAGATACGAGCAAGATCAAGTCAGGTACTAAGACCACTCTATAAAGCCTTAGTAAGACCACACCTAGAGTATTGCATCCAGTTTTGGTCACCACACTATAAAAAAAGATGTTGAGACTCTAGAAAAGTGCAGAGGAGAGCAACCAGGATGATTAGGGGACTGGAGACTAAAACATATGAAGAACGGTTGCAGGAACCGGGCATGGCCAGTCTAGTGAAGAGAAGGACCAAGGGAGACACGATAGCAGTCTTCCAATACTTGAGGGGCTGCCACAGAGAGAGGAATGGTCAAGCTATTTTCCAAGGCACCCGAAGGCCAGACAAGGAATAACGGATGGAAACTGACCAAGGAAGATTTACCTCTGCGCATGCTCCAAGATGGCGACCCGGCTCTAGGCTCGCTGTGATAGAGATGGGGTCTTGGCTTGTGAGGGTCTCCGGGGGGGTCGTTTGACCATCTGGGACCCCCTGCCCGGCAGGCGTGCTTCTAGCCGGTCGATTGAGAGCTTTTCGGGCTCTCTAAGGTGCCGATAACAGCGTGGCACCGACGTTCCGACGTTCCGACGAACAGCTGTTCCGAGGCCGCCATGAGAAGGGCGGCGTTCGTGATCCATGGGCGGCGGCGGCAGCAGCGGCAACGGAGGAACAGAAACGGCCAGCCTTCGGCTATGTTTGGATGGTTGGTGCGACGGCTGCGGTGGGGGCGCTGGCGTCGTCGCGGACTGCCCCCCCCGCGTCAGAGTAGTGGAGGTACACGCCGGGGGGAAGGAAGTGGACGTCGAAGGAGGTGAGGGTGAATGGAAGATGTTGGTGGTGCCCGCGAGGATGCCAGCGCCTCCGCCGACGCCGTTGTAGCAGCCATTGGGATGGCTGGAGTCGTGTAGCCGAAGAAGAACGTGAGGGGGGAGCCTCCATCTCTGAATTTTAAACCTTGGCAACTTCGGGCCGCCATGGGGCTGGGGTAATTCCCAAACTTTAGCTCCCATGGCGAGGCCTCCTTCATAACCATCTCGGGGGGCTAGGACTGGGCATATAGGATGGTGGAAGACCTGGAAGACTCGAGGGGGGGGGTTAATGAGGGTGGAGGGGCTGTTGGAGTTACTGCACAGCCCTGGTTAACCCTCTCCCCCCTGGTCCTAGTTGGGCCATTATCAGGCCCTATGATTAACATGCTTGCCCTGCCGGTTTCCGCTCGATGGAGGTGGCTCCCACTTATTTTCCTCTATCTGCTTGCCTGTATTATCCATCTATACGCTACCTGTATGAATATTGTGGACAGCTTTCTTTCTTCTGGAGACTTTGGACCTGGCTCTGTTTGTTATCTAGCACGCTGGCTGTATGAAAAATGGCAGCTTACAGGAGGACGAACGGAGCCGGTTTCTATCATTGTTTCACTACCGATGGGATGTACCATCTTCCCCATGGCGAGTTGGCCAACCATCGTGAGAGGCTGGTTGGACGATTACCCTCGAATTGGTTGGAACATTGGACTCCTCCACTGCCATGAGAGGACAGTGGAGACTCTTCCGCTTATGGTCAACCTGCCTTTTTCAGGACAATTTGGACTATCATGGAGCCCTGGGCCATACCTTATCACTACCTCAGAGCTTAGATGTACAGCTTCTTGCACTGCGAGACTCCCCCCTCTCGCAAGCCTGGCCCTCCACGTTATCGAGGGCCTACCTCAATGACGGGTCTTGGAACCCAGAGAGGTGGCATGCGGCGAAGAGGGGGTTGAGGGGTTTTTTATGTAAATTTTTGGAAAAAATTTTAAGGGGTCCCGGGGGGGGGGGGAGGCAAAATTGGAACTAGGGTAGTGGGTTTGGGGGATAACCCACCAAGGGGAAGGTCAGGCCTGGCCACTATACGCGGCGGGGGGGGGGGGGGTGCCGGAGGAAATGGAGGGGGTCGAGCTTGTCCAGATTGTGTTTTTACCATCGGTACTGTGAGGGGGAGGGGTAGATATGGCGGGAGCAGGGGGCCATATCATGTTAAGGGAGCGCGCACCCGCTGTCTCCATGCGGTAGCATGCTCCGGCCCCCAAGGCTCCACTCGTTCTCCAGGTTGCACAGACCCTCAGGGCCCGGGCCTTCGGCTGATGTTGTGCAATGCCAGGTCCGCAGTAAATAAAGCCCCCCTCATTTGTGATCTTGTTCAGGAGGGGGGAGCGGACCTGGCAGGTATTACGGAGACCTGGTTGGGCCTGGAGGGAGGGGTCCCTCTGGTAGAAATGTGCCCACCAGGCTTCCACGCATTCCATCAACCGAGGTCTCAGGGGAGGGGCGGGGGAGTAGCGGTTATTATTAGAGAAGGTTTTAGGCCGAGGGAGGCCACTGTTCCTCAGACGACCGGTTGTGAGTCCCTCCTTGTGAAGTGGGGTCATGGGGTTCAGATGGGTTTGCTGATAACGTACCTGGCTCCCTGCCACGTGGCAGCAGCCCTGCCCGAGCTACTCAACGTTATCACCGCAGTGGCGGTTGATACCCCCAGACTTATGGTCATGGGGGATTTCAACCTGCCGTCCGTGGGTGAGACGTCTGAGGTGGCTCGGGAGTTCATGGCTTCCATGACGGCTATGGATCTGACCCAGCTAATTCATGGCCCTACGCACATGGGGGGAAACACACTGGACCTGATTTTTGTCTCTGGACAGTGGCTGAGTGATCTCGAGATAGGGGACATAGTCATCGAGCCCTTGTCATGGTCGGATCACTCTCTCCTTCGCCTTGATCTTCGAACCGCTGCTCCCCGCCGCAGGGAGGCGGAACCGATAAGATGGTACCGCCCCAGGCGCCTGATGGAACCTGATAGGTTCCAGACGGAGCTTGGGCCAATGCCTGAGGTCCTGGCTCACGCCTCGACTGGAGACTTAGTGGCCGCCTGGGATAGGGCGGCCGCTGGAGCTCTGGATTGAGTCGTGCCTTTGCGGCCTCTGACCCAGCGCCGATCTCACCTGGCTCCTTGGTTTACTGAGGAGCTGAGGGAGATGAAGCGCCGGAAAAGACGCCTAGAGAGTAGTTGGAGGGCCAGTCGCACTGAATCTGACCGGACACTGGTAAGATCTCATATTAAGAATTACCTAGTGGCGATAAAAGCAGCGAAATGTACTCATCTTGCTGCTCTTATTGCGTCATCAGATAACCACCCGGCCGCCCTGTTTAGGGTGACCCGCTCCCTGCTCCACCAGGAAGCGAGGGAGGACCCCTTGGAGGGAAGAGCCGAGGACTTTGTTCAGTATCTGTATGACAAAATCACTCAGATTCGGGAAGATCTGGACTCTGATTGGGTAGATCCAGTGGGGATGACGGAGGCAGGTCCTGAGAATGTTATCTGGGATGAGTTTGACTCTGTGACCCCTGAGGACGTGGACAGGATTCTGGGTAGACTGAATGCGACCACATGTTTGTTGGACCCGTGCCCCTCCTGGTTAGTGCTGGCTTCCCAGGAGGTGACGCGAGGCTGGCTCCAGGGGATTATAAATGCTTCATTGAGTGAGGGTGTCTTTCCCGCCGCCTTGAAAGAGGCGGTGGTGAGACCTCTCCTCAAGAAGCCTTCCCTGGACCCGGCAATATTGGCTAATTATCGTCCAGTCTCCAACCTTCGCTTTGTTGCGAAGGTTGTTGAGAGTGTGGTGGCACGACAGTTTCCCCGGTACCTGGATGAAACGACGTATCTAGATCCGTTCCAGTCGGGCTTCAGGCCTGGGTACAGCACGGAAACGGCATTGGTCGCGTTGGTGGATGATCTCTGGAGGGCTCGGGACAGAGGTTGTTCCTCTATCCTGGTCCTATTAGATCTCTCAGCGGCTTTTGATACCATCGACCATGGTATCATGCTGCACCGGTTGGAAGGGTTGGGGGTGGGAGGCACCGTATTACGGTGGTTCTCCTCCTTTCTCTCCGACCGGTCGCAGTCTGTGTTGACAGGGGGGCAGAGGTCGACCCCGAGGCCCCTTATATGTGGGGTGCCACAAGGATCGGTCCTCTCGCCCCTTTTGTTCAACATTTATGTGAAGCCGTTGGGCGAGATCATCCATGGTTTCGGGGTGGAGTACCATCAGTACGCTGACGACACCCAGCTGTACATCTCCACCCCAGACCACCCCAACGATGCCCTTGAAGTGATGTCCCGGTGCCTGGAGGCCGTACGGATCTGGATGGGGAGAAACAGGCTCAGACTCAACCCATCCAAGACCGAGTGGCTGTGGTTTCCGACGTCCCGATATAGTCAGCTGGTGCCATCGCTGACTATTGGGGGCGAAGCATTGGCCCCCACGGAGAGGGCTCGCAACTTGGGTGTCCTCCTGGATTCACGGCTGTCTTTAGATGAGCACTTGACAGCCGTGACCGGGAGGATTTTTCATCAGGTTCGCCTGATCCGCCAGTTGCGTCCCTTTCTGGATCGGGACTCGTTACGCACGGTCACTCATGCCCTCGTCACCTCCCGTCTGGACTATTGTAACGCTCTCTACATGGGGCTCCCCTTGAGGAGCACTCGGAGGCTCCAACTGGCGCAGAGTGCGGCCGCGCGGGTGGTGATGGGAGCAACGTGGCGCTCCCATGTAACGCCTCTCCTGCGCGAGCTGCACTGGCTCCCGGTGGTCTTCCGAGTGCGCTTCAAGGTTTTGGTCATCACCTTTAGAGCGCTCCATGGCTTAGGACCTGGTTATCTACGGGACCGCCTGCTACCACCAATAGCCTCCCACCGGCCAGTACGCTCCCATAGAGAGGGGCTCCTCCAGGTGCTGTCGGCCAAACAATGTCGACTGGTGGCCCCCAGGGGGAGAGCCTTCTCTGTGGGGGCACCTACTATCTGGAACAAGCTCCCCCCCGAGATACGGAGGATTCCGGATCTGCGTACCTTCCGTCGCATGCTTAAGACGTTCCTATTCCAGCAAGCCGGCCTGACCTAAACTTTTCCTCTTTTAAACGGGAATTTTAAATTTGGTTTTAAATTATTGGGGTTTTAAATATGGTTCAGCCAAATTTATTTAACTTGTTTTATTTCTATTTTAAATTTTGTATTTATATGTTTTATTTCATGGCTGTTCACCGCCCTGAGTCCTTCGGGAGTAGGGCGGTATACAAATTTAAATAATAATAATAACAACAACAACAACAACAACAACAACAACAACAACCTGGAAATAAGGAGGAATTTTCTGACAGTGAGAACAATCAACCCATGGAACAGAAGTTGCCTTTGGAAATTGTGGGAGCTTCATCACTGGAAGCTTTCAAGAAGAGACTAGACTGCCATTTGGTATAGGGTCTCCTGCTTGGGCAGGGGGTTGGACTAGATGACCTCCAAGGTCCCCTCCAACTCTGTCATTCTATTCTATTCAGTGATTTACCAAAACAAGTCTGCTCCCCACCAACCTGGTTGCCTTCTGGCCTGTAGCTGCCCATCGAGGGTCTCTGAAGAATGGGGGTAACACAAGTTGCCCTAACAGTACTTTTCATCTCATTTTCTGGGGATGGCTTATTCACTGTGGTTTTATTGCACCTGAGCAGACTGTTGCCGTATTCAGCTATATAATGGTTAGGAGCAATTCATTTGATGAAGCATTTGGTAAATTAATCCTGGAAAATTGGGCCTCCTTTTCCACCACTAGTGTGAATATTTGTTATGGGTTGCTAGCAGGGATTGCTTAAAAAGACAAGGCAGCCCCTAGACCTGAAGCCCCAATTTGGACATGCTTTGCAGGAACAGCTGAAAATAGTGGTTTCTTTTTCTCCCTTTTCCAGATGACTGGAAGGTACAAGATGTACGCAGAGGCACTTGCTGCATTTGCCCAACCCAATTTTGTGCCCAACGTCATCCGAGAGTGACCTCTCTGCCCACGGAGGAGGCTCTTCTCCAGATACTTCCATCTGTACAGGAATGGCCTCTTCTTTCCAACTGTCTCTTCCTGACTGGTCTGCTCTCTTATATTAAAAGTTGCCCTGGTAACTTCTCCGTTGCAAAAGGTCTTGTAAATGGAGACAAGCACCGAGGGTCTCCCCCATTAAATGGAAATACAAATTGAATTAATAAATAAATAATAAATAAATATTTGGTCCTATCCTGTCCTAAAAACAATGAAAAATGAAGATGAGAAATACTCAAGACAAGTTCTTAGTTCAGAAAGGCAAATTATCAGGTATGATAAAGGTCTGGTGGACGATGTCCGTGAGGAAGAGAGCGGGGAGACCCAGGAGCCCTCTCCTTCACTGGAGACCTGGAGGAAGAGCCAAGGGGTGATAGATACCTGGATGGAACCCAGAAATCAGTTTCAGCACGGTATCTTGATAATGTTAGAGTCAGTCAAACTTAAGAGAGACAAGGGCAGAATGTTTCATTCAGGAAACAAGCATGAAACGCCTAGAAGAGGATGGAGATTATTAATGAAATAATTCATTCAGTCACCTGAATATGTTCACTATTCAGGTGACTGTGAGGGCACAAATGAACCTCCAGGTGGCAATTCTCAGAGAGTGCTAATGACCAGATGACTGCAAGGAATATAAATCCTTCCATTTGGTCATAACCAAGGAAGCTTCTTGGATGAGAAGTGAAATGTCTTCCAAGGAAAAACAAAACTCCAATTTCCTTTTGAAAAAAACACCTTTGGGACATTAATGAAATGTATCTGATTCCCAGCAACACTGGGTGCTTTGCAAATCGCTTAAAACATTAAGAAAAAGGAGGCAGAGTGAAGATGGCAACATGCAGAAACCAGATCAGAGCCAAGGGAACCAGCCCCCACTATCCAAAGTGGACTTCAGGCCAAAGGCCCAGCTGGCTTGGTCCAAGGAGGAAGGAAAAATATGGCAGACAACCAGGTCCATTGAACTGGTCTGTTGGTCCACAGCACTGCTCAACTCCCGAGGGAGTCATACAGGCCAAGATGGGGCTCTTGTTCCAGAATGCAGAGAGAGACTGGACCTTCCAACCACTAGAGGATTGGTGGGCTGTGTTTAAGGAAGGGCAGGATGGGGGAGAGGACTTTCATTTGGCTTCCTGCATGGACACACACACACACACACACCACGTTCTCACTGGCCGCCTCCAAGCCCAGCTTTCTGTAAAGGTTCCTAGCTGCTGGGCTCTGCTGTTCCCTCTCCCACCTCAAGAACCAGTTCCTTTCAGAGGCTGGCAGCTGCCCTCTGGGGGCCCTCCTCACCTGCTTTGAAAAGAGGCAAAGACCCTCCCCTGCACTCCCAAGGTGGGCAGACAACCAGGCACGAGGACACCTGTTGGGCAGGCTTTACCCTGTGGCTTTGGGAGTCTCCTTTTCCCAGCTTCAGTTTGTCACCCTTGAGCACTCCCTGCCCATCAGGACTCCCTCTAAAGTAGATGCTTGGGGTGGGGGTGGGGCTGTTTGTGCTCCATCATCACCTCCCGAGTTCCCAAAGCCACTTTCTGAACAAGGAGGGAGCAGCAGAGTGGAAGGGCCAAGCGCTCAGTGGCAGCCACTTTGCAGCAGCCAACCATTTCTACTATTTTGGGGAATGAACCCGTCTCCTGGTTTTCCCTAAAGAATCAAACTTCATCTCCTTGAAAGACGGATTTTCCTTCCACGCTCTGGGAAGCAGCAAAGCATTAGCCTAGAAAGAACAACACAAAGACCTGCAAAAAATAAGTGAATGTTTCCTTATATAGTCACTTTGCCCATTCCATCTAAAAAAAAAAGTCTAAGCATGCTCAAGAAAGCAGGCTTTATTGAATGGTTTACAAACAAATATACTTTTGTGTATAAAACTTATTTTGCAGATTTTCTTCCCTTTTACTGTCATGTGATTGTGAAGTTTGCATAAACATTTACTTGTTCAGAGCACCCAAATAAAGAGAAAGCGTGCAGGGCCCAGGCAGGCCTTCTTTCAACTTCCCCAATGCCTCCGTCCCCCTCCCAAGACAGCCCCCTGCCCCTTCTCTTGCACCAGCAGCTCAGCCAGGAGCAGCTCTGCCCTCTCGGACGGCAAGGCAGAACTCGGAGCCTCTCCTTTTCCCTTTGCAGGTTCTGCACCAAGATTGGAGAGCCTCCCCCACTGGCCTCGAAGGCAGATGGCGCATCATCCCGTAACTGGAGGATGCCAAGACAGGCGGCCAACCTCAGCCGTGTGAATGTTCTCTTTGTGAAAGTGGCGTCTTGTAACCAAGCAATCCTTCTGGCCAGTGGAGCTGCATCCTCACCCTTGCTAAGGAGTTTTTTTAATGGAAGCAGCTGCTGTGCTTCAGCTCGGCTCGGTCCAGAGGGAGCCCCTGAAAAGCAGCACCCTTAAACTGGAGACTAGAAGATTAAGCAGCATGTTAAGTCTTTACTATTTATGAACAAAATCAATGCTACAAGCAGGCAAGACGGAAATAGCACTGAAGCCTCAACAATACTAAAGGTTTTGAAAGCTGGACTCCTCCCTGTGGAAGAACTGCAGAAAGTCCAAAGGGACACGATCTGGATGGGAGCCGCAGAGGCCCCGTCACTTGTCTTACCCACTTCCATCGTCGTCTCACCCAACTCCCTTTCTTTGTGCTAGAAGCTTCGCTTGGATAACTTCAAAGAGGCTACCCAGAATTCTCTGCCATTAATAGCCACTTACAAGAATTTGACCGCAGAGCATACAGCACAGTTATTTCAAGCCATCAGGGAAGCCACCCGTCGCCCTCATCTGAGGGCAAATATGGTGCGTTGAGGTAGAAACCTGGGCCTCCCAGAGGGGCGTAGCTCTCCCCCGCCCAGCAGGCATCACCAAGGAGCTGGGATTCCCTGGCGGATTTCCAGCCCAAGGCCAGTTCCCTGCCCGACAGCAGGAGGCGCCTGCCCTTCTCCTGAATGCTTTTGGCACTTCTCGAGGCCAAAACAGATCACATTTGGACTTGCTGTGGCCACTTTAAAACTGGCAGAGCAAGCTTGAGATCCAGAGTGGCCATTACCTGGGCAGCTAATTTGGGGCAAAGGGTGGGAAGCAGGCCCACAGCTTTGCTTAAGTGGCAGGAGTTAAGGACGGCTAAAAGTGCAGCCCCTTAGGATTGATGGTGCTCAGACGGCAGTCTTATCTTGGCTGAGTTGGGAGGACGAGCTGACTGCATCTAGCAAGATTGGCTTCTGGGTGAAGGTGAGCCTCGGATGAGCTCCAGGAGGAAAATGCTGACGAACTGGGACCGCTGAACTAACACGACGTAGCTGTGGTCTTTTTAAAGACGAAATTAAGCACAATCTGGACTAGCAGCCTTTCACAAGTAATCTAATCACCGAATATCAATTAAATGGACGTTATTCAAAATGATCGATTGTGCTGATTCACACAATCCAAAACCTGTAGTCATAAAGAAAGGATTTAAGTCCTCTGAGAAAACCTTTTCCAAAAAGGAATTCCATCTTCTGCCAACGTTGCCAAACTTCCATCTCACCTGAAAAGTCCCTGTAAGGGGGAGATAAGGCTTCTGGAGGGAGGGGGATGTTGGTTCTGGGAACCACCCCTTTCAACTCTGCTTTCTAAAACACTGATTCCTTCCTTTCCTTTCTGCCTCTTCCCTCTATTACTTAATTTATTGGCTTGATTTTTATCAGCAGATTAAAAAACTGGGTGAATGATAGTTAGGAAGGAGCTGCTCTTACGGGATTCAGGAAGCTGGATTGCCTTTGAGTTTCATTCCTGGGAAAGGACGTTCCGCATCTCAAAACTTCAAATGTGCAAAAATGTACGGATTTGCTTTTTCCTAGGGTGGCAGCAGCAGCCTGGCCAAGAAGCAGGTAACAGCCTGGCCGGAGCAGATCAAGAGAGCCGAACTGAGAAAGGCTCAGAGGGAGGGAAGATGGGTGCAGGCTTAGGACTGGGCGACCACACCGAATCTGGTTGCGGCATCAGAAGAGAGCACACTCATTTTGTTTCAGAATTCAGTCTTCTTTAGGGAGGGGGGACTGGCCAAGTTTTAATCTGGGGCCAGAGTTGGGATCCTCCCCCCCAGCAAAATCACCTGGGGTCCCCAGATAGACCCCAACTGGAAAACGTGTTCTGTTATTCATTGTGACTGCAATGAGTATTTTGCTTTAAGGTGGCATAAAATACATTCTCCTCCCTTCCGTCTCCTCGAGTCTAATGCCTCCTTTGCTTCCAACATGGCGCGGTCTAGGAACGGAGGTCTCCGAGTCCTGAGATGGCTGCCGCAATGGCGGTGAGTTGGGAGCCCCAGCCGGAAGGTCAGCTGTTTTGGTAAATGAAGAGGATATCCTCGTCTGTGCCATAACTGGTCCTGGCTTCCTCGAAGTTATGGATGCTGGTGCTGCATGTTCCTGTGGAGCAGGCCCAGAGTCAGACAGGCCCAGCCCGCCTCGTGCCACCACCGCCCTCAGCCTACACACAGACCCCTTGCAGAGGGAATGACCCCACCACACTGCCCGAGAAATGAGGAGCCCAGAGAGTTGTGGGCGGGAGGGGGGGCCTGGAGGCCGACACCTGGGCGAGGGTGCAGTTACTCACGGTCTGCATAGGCAGGGTTGTTGTAATAAATACACCCCAAAGCTCTGTTGTAGCCACACAAGACGATGAAGTGACCCTGGTAGTCGGGGCTGCGGCAGAAGCACTTCTGGCCGATGGGCAGGAAGCAGCAGTACTTGACTGGGCTGGAGCAGAGGTCGCACAGCAGCAAGACGGCATTGACCAGCACAATGGCGATGTGGCCCTGTGAGAGGTGCTCCTGGATGTCCCTGATGGTCACCGTGCTGCCGGAGAAGGGACTTAGCATAACTTCATTGTCACTTTGAATGCACGCAAATCGGCATACATTAAAATGAAGTTTCACTGTATACAGCTCTCAAAGGTTGAGAGCTGTAATATACCCTACATAAACATGACAAAATAAATACAAAATTATGCATATACCCACATATATGAAACAGAGAAACACAGTCTAGTCCGGATGTATACATGTACACGGCGAGAAAAATGAATACTGCAAGTTTACCAGACAGATGGCATAGGCCGTTACAGAATCTGGAAGTCCTGCTAGAAATCGTTTGAAACCTCTCAGAGGGGAGCAACAGAAACAGAAAGTGGAGTGGGGATGTGGGGTCTCTTATAACAATGCTTTGAGCTCTAAGCACATAGTGCTTATAAGCTGTATCCTAAATAACTGGAAGCGAGCTTCCTATAATCTCTGCTGTCCTCATCACTCTCTGTATGGACTTTCTAACTGAGGCTCTGCTGCCACCAAACCAAACAGGGATTCAGTTTGTTAAAATACTCTCAACTGTGCCTCAGTAAAAAGTGGCCAGGACAGGAGAAAGATGTGTTCTTGTCTTCCGATGCAAGAAATGCAGACTCTGGTTTGCATACTTCACTAAGAATGACATGTGGCAAGACCAATTCAGATTGTTAGTTATCTGCACCCCCAGATACTTAATGCTGTTGACCACCTGTACGGCTGCATGCTTGATGCTGAGAGGAGTATGACCGTGCTGGCTCTTTCTAAAATCTATGATGACCTTCATTTTATTAACATTTAGAACCAGGTTACTTTTATTGCACCAGTCCCCAGAGCCTTCACTTCTTCCCTATAAGCATCTTCATTGTCATCCCGGAGAAGACCCACCACTGCCGTGACATCCACGTACTTCACAGTATGATTCGTAGCAGATTTGGCACAGCAGTCCTGGGTCATCAAGGTGAACAGTAGTGGACTCAGCCCTGTGGGGAACCCGCACTTGAGGTGGAGTTGGAAACTTTTCTTCCAACTCGCACAAACGGGGGCCTATCAATAAGGAAATCCAGTATCCAATTACATAAAGCAGAATTAAAGGGGAGGAGGAGACCTGGGTTCAAGAGGGTCTCCCACGCCAGGAGTCCAGAGGAAGAGAAGAGCCCGGACTACTTTGGGCCAAAAACCTCTACTTCAGGAATACTTATTTTATTTATCATCTGCCCATCTCCCTCACAGAGGAACTATCTCCTGATGCATAAAAGTGGCTTTCCCAACAGAAGCACCTATTAGTATAACCGTTCTGACCTGAAATGAATGTTTCTGCTTTATTTAATAAGACAGAACAAAGATAGAAGAATTACAATGAAAGCACAGACGTATGCATCTACAGACGTAACGTTTTCTGCCACTTTTTCTCCTGAGAGATAAAAGCAATGAAGGAAGAGCATTTCCTGACCCTCAACGTTATGGGCTCCTCCTCAGGGGTCTTCCATCAGTTTCTTACAGGGGTGGGAGTCTTGGGGGGCCTACTCACAACGCTCACTGAGGCCTGCAGGAGATGGCGGTTTAGCCATGACTTGACAAGGCCCAGGGAAAGATGCCCCTCAGCCTCTCCCCAACCCCCCAAGTCTCTTCACATGGACACCCAGAACTTCCAGACATAGGGAGAAGCTGCTTGAGGAGACCCAGGCCTGAATCCCTCCACTCCTGGGTAGCAATTTCTGCACAACCCCCGCAGAGGATTCTTGTGGGATGTAATGAGAGAGCCCTCGGGAAGCCAGTCTGAGCTTTTAGTTTTCCCTAGTTTTCCCAGGAGACAAGCGGCGTCAACAAAAAGAGCTTGGATTGTTCTTGTCCTCCAGCTGAGACCTTTGCAGTCAAAGCCAATTCAGCAAGCAGCTCCTCCCTTATCTGCCTTCATCTGCCACACAGGAACAGCTTTTCCACACTTTACTGGTGTCGCCCTTCCTAGGTCGCTTCTCATTCTGATGGGCCTGAAAAGGACCTGGAAGCGGCCTCTGAACTGGATCCGGTCCATCCCACAGAGACACTGCTTGGCCATCCTCATTTCCCCCCTTATTCAAGGCAGCTGGGCCAGGCCCCGAGCATGAAAGGAGCCAAACTTGACCAAACGCCACCAAGGGGGCAGAGGCAGCTGCATCACCAATTTTTGCAGGGAAAACTTTGAAAATCCTCCTGCTCCAATGTCAGCTGCCACCTAGTTTGGAGGGTTTTATGGCAGAGTCCAGCAAGATCCCAGGACGAGAGAGTCTGAGGAGGCACGTCAAGGGACTCCATATGCTGGAGAAATTTTGCTCTATGTGAAACACATCCGGAACCCCAGGAGGGGCTGCAAGGTTATAAAACATGAATGGCAGATTCCCCCCCCCCCACCAATTGCTGCCGCAAGACAAATAAGGTATCGTTTATTTATACCTACAGCAGATAGCAGAGCAGTGAATTCTGCTCTGAGCCAACTTGAGTTAAAGCTCTCCTCCAGGCTGGAAACTGTGACAGAAACTCACAGGTCTGAGTAGGGAAGATCAAGTCCTATGGTCAAGATTGACCTAACTTCCTTTCTGTGTCCAGCACGTGCCCTGCCAGTCCCTGTTCGCCCCCTCCTCAAAGCAGTGCCAGACATCCCACCATCCAGCACTGAAATTACTCCTTCATGGGCAGAGATTTAAGTAAGGAAAATGAGAGAAATCTTTGTTTTCACCTGTGGTTTATTTCTTTGTGATTCTATCCCACAAACAACTGAGAGCTCGATACGGATCAGGTGCTATGCACAGTGCTGCCTCCTTGTACAAAAACATTATCAATTTATCTTCATGTTGCTAAAAATAAAAGTACCAAATCTGCCTCCAACAGAGAATCTTGCTCAACCGTCTCTCAAGTGCACTGCGACAGCGTCTAAAACCAAGCCCCCCGCAGATCTGGCACTGGAGCAATGAGCAATGGCTCAGCAAGTGAGCGGGACCCGTGCAAATGAGAACCATCCCCCACATCTGCCCAAGGAGAGGGTCCTGCTGACCCCAGTTCCTTTTGGTCTACTTTAGCAGCAGCCTTAGCAGGGACCCCACTTCCAGCAAAGACTTTCCCCCTCTTAGGTACATTTTTCATCTTGGCATTTTCCTCGAGAGAAGGGACGGCCAACGCCATTCTCTGACCGAAGGACCATGCTAAGGTTAGAGCTGTCTGCTGGTGGCTTCCCCGTCAAAGGATTGAGGCTGCATAAAAAGAGGTGAAAGGGAGAAACTAAAGTCTAATTAAAATAGTACAATTCATTAGCGTAAATTATACAGCTGATGGATTTTCATACACACACATGAACTTAAAATGAGTGCCTTCTCTTATTCATCTCCCAAGTTCAGAATTACTGAAGCAACCGAACAGTACCTTGATTGGACCATGTGACTGACTGACTGAGAAAGGGGGGAAACTTTACTTTTAATTAGGTGAAATCTGCAGGAACCTTTAGTCGGTTTTCACCAGTCTGTACCAATATGATATATCCAATTAAACTGTTCTTTAAGGAAACTACCTGCCTTGGAGTTCTGTTTGCTATGTTACTTGGAACCCTGACACATATCTTCCCTGCTTCTATGGCCCAAGATTTCCTTTGCCCTGGAAGTGAATTTAGCATTCTCACCCACAATTTCCCTTGCCAAGCATTTTCTGAAGTTTCAAATGTGCGTATCCCTCACAGCACATCCTGGGCTCCACTGGGCTCCATCTTCATAGATGTCTGCAGCTTGAACAGTTACTTACACGCACTTTCTCTTTGGCTAGCAACTATTTACATTTTTAAAAAAGCAGGATAAAAGTATGTAATAATGCAACTACGTCTACCATTGTGAATGGAAGCCAGAGCACATCCTCCTTTCCCAGGTTCCATTAAGCACAAGGTGGGTTTTTCATTTGCAAATGAAGTAGTTTCTAGTCTTGATCTACTTAGCTAGAATTCTGCCCCACTTCCGGGTGCACAGCCTGCTACTCTCTCCTCTGTGTGAATGTGGAGACCACAAGGCATAAGAACAGGTTGCTTACCTGTAACTCTGGTTCTTTGAGTGGCCATCTGCCATCCCCTTGCCAAGAAAGTTCTGCGAGTAAAAGACCACTGTGTTAGTTCAGAAGCCTGAGATAAAGGGAGGGAACTTCCTCGGACAGATGCAGCTGTTCCACAGCGGCTCCCTGCCCAAAGGCTGAGTTAGGCCCTGAAGGAGCTTTCCAATGTCAACACAGGCCAGAAGCCCCTCCAGGGGAATCTGCAGATGACCACTTAAAGAACCATCAGGATCTTCCCTGCATGAAACTTCTGCACCCCATCCTGGGCATGCCTGCGGCTGGCATCCTCAAAATGGAGGGACAGTCACCAATGAAGCAGAATAACCCACTTTCTTTGCACCTTTTCTAGACCGCTCCCTACTCATCTGATTTCAGTGGGGCTTAGTCAGACAACCGTCATTCACATACTTGGGGTTGAACCCCAACAGCAACGAGGGACAATCCTGCCCCTCTCAGTATATCCCCTTGCAAAGGAAACCGACCGGTTGCTCCTTCCTGCTTCTAGTCAGAAAAATAGACCTACTGCTACAATCAAAATAAACCAATCCCAAAATGCCTGGCAGTGCCCAGGGATGCACACCCTTGGATGTTTTATTTCAAACTATTACATACCATGCTCCAGAAATTCTGCCGAACTGTTATGCCAAATATAAGATTTGGGAAGAAAACAAAGCCTGAAATGTTTTGCTGGTTTCTGCATTTAGAAGAACGTCAGTTTGGTCTAGTGGTGAAGGCACCAGGCTAATAAGCAGGAGGCCAGGAGTACAAGTCCTGCATCAGCCATAAAAAGCAACTGGGTGACTTTGGGTCAGTCTCTCTTTTTTGGCCAACCCACCTCACAGGGTTACCATGGGGAAAATAAAGAGGAGGAAGTGGCAGAAATGGCATAGGGTCTCCTGCTTGAGCAGGGGATTGGACTAGATGACCTATTATTATTATTATTATTATTATTATTAATAATAATAATTATTATTATTTATTCAATTTATATACCGCCCTTCTCCTGGTGGACTCAGGGCGGTGCACAGCCAAAACTAAAATACATAACAATACGGTCCCTATAAGGTCCCTTCCAACTCTGTTCTGTATTCTGTAAATATTAAGCATGCTTGCCACCTTATTTGTAAAAGTAATGAAGATGGGATAATATTAAGTAAAAATAAAAGCAGAAGCCAGAGGGATTTTATGGGGAAAAAAATAGAACAGGGCAGATGTGGGAACCCCCGAGAAGCTCCCAGGGTGGAATATCCACCTGCCTCTCTGTCCTCCCATCCCTCCAGCACTTTCCTCACTCCCCTGAGCTGCCACAAGGTCCCAACAGCTCATCGGTGGCCTGCATGACTGTGGCCTGCAAGAGTCATGCAGGCCACAGATGAGCTGCTGGGACCAAGTCACTGCCACTGACAGCCTTCCTCCTGCTCTTAACCCCTCCACCCCTCTCAAAACTAAAGAGCCTCCTTTCAGTCTGGGCATGCACCAAAACATCTAACATGCACATCTCTATTTGAGTTCAAGTTACTTGAAACTGCCTGCTCTGTGTATAAACGGATTTGTGTGTGGAACCTTTTGCCTTTTCCTACAAGTATTAAGTGGGATCTCCATCCTTCTCTTCCTGTCCTCAAGGTGAGGGACTGGGGAACAAATTGGTCCCTCAACATCACTCCTTCTCCAACTCTTCCCTTCAAGCAAAGAGCCACCCTATGCCTTGGGATGTCCCTTAGGAACGTCCATGGAACATTCCTACCCAGTGCAGGGGAACCACAACTTGTGAGAAATGAGGATGTGGGAGAAATTGCAAGTGGCAGGGAGAGCAGTACAGCCAAAGCTGGTTGTTTTTCTCACTGGCACCCCTGGTCCATGCAGAAGCAGATTCGGAACGCCATCCTTTATTATTTCTAACGCTTTTTATGGGAGGAAAAAAGCGCCCTTGGTCACACTGCACCCTCTTGCTCAGCATATCCCATTCATCTCAGGCAGATTTATTTCCCAGCGGAAGAGCTCAAACCCTGCATCCAAAGGACCGTCAGTTCTCATGGCTACATCCTAAAAGCCAGAGGAAGGTGATGCAGGCTTGTTTAGGTACAGACCCGCGGATAAACAGCTGGATCACCTGCTAGAAGAAAGAAAGGCAAAGCATCCACTGAGAGCTCACCGTTTTTCCACCAGCACCTTGCAGGCTTTTGCTTGGGCAAATAGTTGGTTTACACGGTTCTCCTCTGTGTCAAAGTGTTTTCTATAAAAAGACTAAAGACAAGGAGCCATGTCAGATGACAAACCCTTCTCCTGGCGGAAAGCCCAGGGAGGGATTGCTAGGATCTCTAAGGGGAGACCCCCACTGCCTCCCCCAAGGGAACACATGTGGGGCAGCCGTCTTGAATCAAGCCTGCCAAAGAAGATCGTCTTGGAAGACTTCACAGAAGGCTTTGAGGCATCTTGTGAGCAAAGGGCAAACCTGTCGTTGAGGCAACCCTGGGATTTCTAGTAGATGGCGCCCAACGTCAGTTGTGCAGCAAATGGCCACAAATGTGTGAGTACCACTACGCCTCTTAAGAGAGTGCAAGCGTCCCTCCTAGAGCTGCCTTTGTGTCTGGAGCAGCAGCATCCAAACAAGCTACCTGGTTTTTGTAGCCCTTGTCCACGCCCAGCGTCTGGGTGCAGAACAGATGCTTCACCCCAAAGTGACGCATCAGGTACGCCAAGTCAATTGTCCAGATACTTTTGGTCAACTGGAGGTCCCGGACTGCTCTCTGGAAGTCCTCATCATTCAGCAGGTTCAGGTACCTGAGGTCAGGTCAAATGGGGGGTGGGGGGGACGACCAGGGTGGGCATCAGAGTCAAAAGGAGGGGACAAAAAAAGCAATTTACAGTTAAAATAACCATTTCCTTCTGGAGACCATGGATTTGCCAGCCATTCTTTCCACGACAAAGCAGATTCCATCGTCATCTTTAACTCAGACAGAAGTTCAACAGACAGAGGTCAACAGCTGGGCCCGGCCAGAGTGGGGGTCCACACCTAATAAAGCCCCTGGCCTTGGAAGGCCTCTGCTTCGCTCTCGCTTGGAGTCCCAGCCGCAGCAGAGACCAGCAACTCCACCCTCCAGAGGCCTCGCTCTGCTCTCCTTTTCGCAGCCTCTGCGACCCCCGCAGCGGACCTTCCGCACCGGCCAGGATTTCTCTCTCCCGCTCGGAGCTCCAAGGAGGAGAGAAGGAAGGCGGAACACCAAACAACCCCCCCCTCACTGCCGCCGCTTATAAGCGAGGACTACGATTCCCAGCATGCCCCTGACAGCTGGCGGGGGGGCGTCGCAGGGCCTGGCGGGAGGGGCATGCTGGGAGTTGCAGTCCCGTCGGAAGACTCACCGCAGCGCCATCCTGGAGCAGGCCAGCCCGCAGTCCCAGTGGTAGAGCTGCTGCAGCGCCGGCACCTTCAGCTGCACCGCGTCCCCGACGCCCTCGGCCGCCGCGTCGGCAAGGGCAGCCAAGGGCAGGGGGCTCCGGAGCTCGGCCGCTCCTCCCCCGGCCGCGTAAGAGGGCGCCCCAGGCCCGGAGCACCCACCTGAGGGCGGCGGCGCGGCGGCCTCCTCGGCCGGGCTTTTCATGGCGCTGGCGGGGCCGGGCCCGGCCTGGGCGGGGCGTCGCGCGCGCGGGGCAGGCCGGGAGCGCCGCTCCTCTCCCGCGGAGAGCGGCGCGCCATAGAGGCGGCGGGGCAGAGCGGCGCGCGCGCGGGGCAGGCCGGGAACGCCTCTCCTTCCTCCTCCTCCATTGGCCGCCATGTCCATCGGGGTGCCGATCAAGGTGCTGCACGAGGCCGAGGGGCACATCGTCACCTGCGAGACCAACACGGGCGAGGTCTACCGCGGGAAGCTCATCGAGGCCGAGGACAACATGAACTGCCAGGCAGGGCTGCGGGCCGGGGTCGCGGGCGGGCGGGCGGGCGGGGGGTCTCTGGGCCGGGCCTCACCGCCGCCTCCCTCCCCTCAGATGTCCAACATCACGGTGACCTACCGCGACGGGCGCGTGGCGCAGCTGGAGCAGGTCTACATCCGCGGCAGCAAGATCCGCTTCCTGATCCTGCCCGACATGCTGAAGAACGCGCCGATGCTGAAGAGCATGAAGAACAAGAACCAGGGCTCGGGCGCCGGGCGCGGCAAGGCCGCCATCCTCAAGGCGCAGGGTGAGCCTCCGCCGCCGGCCTGGGAGCCGCGGAAGCAGGCGGGGGGCGGGAGGGTCTCCATTAGCCCGGTTAGAACGGGCTCGCTCGACGCCAGCGGGGCCTCGATGCCTTGGTGCGTAACGGGACCAGGGGAGCGGCCAGATGCCCCCTTCAAGGAGCCTCCTTGAACGGGACCTTCTCCGTTTGGCACGAATGACGCCTAACATCTGAAAGCTCAATGGCGACTCTGCGCCCGCTGGCCAGGCGGCCGCGGAGCTTCGGCTGGGGTTAAACACAATCTGGGATCGTTTGATAACTGCCCCAAGTCGAATCTCCGATTGCTCAAACTCATCCCCGTCTGTTATTCCAGGAGCGGGGGAGCAGCTGGGGCCTCTGGCTTTGGGGGGAGGGAGGAAATTTTGAGAACTGCCCTGCCCAGAGGACGCAAGGGGGAGAGGTTGGAGAGGGTTCCCACCTTCAGCCTTCTCTGGACCAGCTTTTGCATCCTCCTCCGCCTCCCTTTCTCTCATCCTTCCTCACCATGAAGGGCTGCAAATGGAACTCCAGAAGTGGAGAGGTTCCAGCAACGTTATAAGTACTGGAGGGCAGAAAGAGATTTGTGTTGCCTATTGTGGAGTTCACTATTTGAGAATAGTGAATAGGCTTTTGTTTTATTGCCTTTAAAATATCACAAGCAACTAATTCTACCTGCTGCTTTCTCACCTCTTTTTAATCTTCTCGGAAACATCTCTGCACTCAGACAGGGAAGTTTGTCCTTTGCTGATTTTTGTGTTCTGTTTTCTTCAGTGGCTGCAAGAGGAAGGGGACGAGGAATGGGACGTGGCAACATTTTCCAGAAGCGGCGGTAACTTGGGATCAAACCCTGCTTTGCTGAAGAGAAAAGTGTGCTAATTGTACTTGTGTGTACTTTAATAAATATGTTTTTTACAAAATAGGAAGAGAACATCTGTGTATCATTGACTTAACTGTGGTATAGATTGGCTGCTTGCAGTACCTTGCAGTACATGACTCAGGAGCTGTTTTTTAAAAAATAAAAAGAAATTAATTAAACTAAAATCAGTCATCTGCCTTTTAGGTGATATTAATAAGACAATTTTTCAGGGTAGCTTTCCTATGTGAGGTTTAATAAACAGGTTGTTAGCAGTATTAAAAGAATGGCCATGAGTTTAAAAATGTCCTGTTTGATTTTTAAAATAATTTATTGTAGTTTTGATTAATCGGTAAACCCAGGTCTCCGGGTAATGCATAAAATGAAAACAGACAGGTCCATAAAATCTAAATCATGGTAAGGTATAAGACCTCTTATTTAGTGTTTCCTTAATTCAAGGTTTTTTTTCTTCCAATCTTTGCAAAATGCAAAATAAAACTTTAAAAGGTTTCTCTAGCAAGTATCTTTGTGTTCACTTGTATGTTTCTAAAATTTTAATTATCTTTGAGCATGCAATGGTGGATTGGAGAGACAAGTAGAGGATGAAGTGCTTGGTTTGTTCTCAGAGGTTATAAAAACCTTTTAGACCAGAATTGGGAATTTCATTGTAAGGGAGTATCATATTGCATATTGAGAAAAGAAAGTTTGCCTCCCTCTGACTGAAGATGACTGGTGCTCCTGCCTGCTCAATCCATTTTGACCAGCTTTCCTCTGCTGCCTGCAGGTCTCTCAACCAGAGAGCCTCTTAATTGGGAAGCTGCAAGTCTTACAAGCAGAACTCTTAGCTTTGGTTATAACCAGGATGGATAAAAATCAATTTTTTTAAAAAAATAAAAAAAAATCAGATTTTTTTGATTTAAATCAGATTTTTTTGATTTAAATCGGATTTTTTTGATTTAAATCAAATTTATTTTAATAAAAAACTTTTGGAGTAAAAATCTATCGTAAGATAGTTTTCTATTTAAGATACATAAATAATTTAGTTTATTCAGCATGAAATGGAGCTTAGTTATGTAGCATGAGGCTGTATATTCTGCAACACTGGGACTACCAGTGAGTCAACAGTGGGTCAAAGGAGTAGCAGAAACAACAGTTGCTCTTTAAAAATTATGATTTAAATCGAGTTGATTTAAATCAAGCCTTTTTACTAGTGATTTAAATCATGATTTAAATTGTGATTTAAATCAACTTGATTTAAATCAAATCCACCCTGGTTATAACAGAATAACAGAACTGGAAGGGACCTTGGAGGTCTTCTAATCCAACTCCCTGTTCAGGCAGGAAGCCCTATACCATTTCAGACAAATCGTTATCCAATCTCTTCTTAAATTATTATCTGAGATGTCTAATAAGCCTTTCAGGTGTTCAAGAGTGGCTGCCCAAGGCTTAGAGGATTGCACTTTCTGGGGGGGGGGGATTTATTTGCATCTTAAACATTTTTTTATTTACAGGATCCGAGTTCCAAAAGTGGGCTTGTGTGGAAAGAACCCCAAAGGTGTGCATAAATGGCCACACTTTGAAACGAAACCACCCAGGAGCAGGCTGGGTGCTTCGAATCATCAAACGGCTCAAGTTCTCTGGGAGTTCTTGTTGTCTTAAAAGATTCTTCAGAGTGCCCCGTTTTCTTTCACATCTGAGCCACAGATGTTAAGCCCTAATTGAGTGATGCATTCTGCAAACCCCTCGTCTCTTAACTGGCTGTTCCACTGTGGCTTAGATGTCATCACTATTTTGTATGCCCCAAATTGATTTGGGGGGGAGGGGTTCTATTAAATGGAGGAGAGCCAATTTCTCCTTTCTCCATGAAGGAACATCACAAGGGATGTTAAATCCAAGCATCCTTGTACTGAATGGATGAGAAAAGCCCTGCAGTTCCCCTGGCACCAAGGCACATTCTGCACAATGTGCACATTCTTCCTTTTGAGAGAAATGGTGTCAAAAGAAGGGAGACCCCCATTATGAAGAAACAGGTTGGGAATATTTCAATAGGAGTTTCTAGAGAGAACGAGGCTTCTGCAACTCTCCCAAATAATTGCCCAACAAAGTGCTGAGCAATGATTTCATCCTCTTTCCAGGAAAGTCATTTACTATCATAAATCACACACCATGAGATATTTCTGCTGAACTGGGCTTGCCCAGGTTACCGTTTCCTCCTGGGCATAAGGCAGAGTTACCATCCCAGCCCGACAGAGCAGAAAGCACAGAGGCGTTTGAATGCAGACGTCCATGAAGAGCAGAAACACTAGGGGGGAAAGGGATGCTCCAAACAGGCCCCCCAGACAAACACCTGCGTAAACCACATCCAGCTGCCCTCAAGTTCTTGCAGTGCCATCTGTCACATGTCTGGGCTGCAGACACCGGCATGCCTCGCATTCCGCCACCCTTTGTTCAGAGGGGAGGAGGGGGAGGAGGCGAGTTGTGCCATCCCGGTGCCGTCTCGGGCCCCATTCAGTCTTTCCATGCCATTCTCACAGGGCTCTCTGGGCTTGTGGACCCTGCACAACTGGGAAAGGATGGGCCCAGGGCTCGCTTGCTCCATGCGCCTCCCCACAACAGGAGCCCACCTCCTGCATCTCCAGATGGTCTCCATTTGCGGCATCATGGTAAGTGACCAGCCTTATTTGGTGCATGTGAGAAAGTCCGACTAGGAGGAAGAGGACAGGGCAAGGGGAGCAAGTCAGAAAGGTTAGGAAAGGCTCAAGGAAGTGGGCAGGTGAGGCCTGATGCGGCATCTCTTCCATCAGAGCTTCCACAGCAGTGGTTTCTGTCTTCCAGAGGACACCTCCATGTCCAGTCACCTTTCACACGACTGCTGGTGGAAGCGGTGCTTGGCCACTGGTGGGATCCCCTCTTCCCCTTGCAAATCTTCCTCTTCCTCCTCCTCCTCCTCCTCCTCCTCCTCCTCCTCCTCCAGCAGGCTGATCTCAGGCCCACTGGATCCCTCAGAAGTGCAGTCCAAGGATTCGTAAATAGTGGGCAGCGTGGTCTGCTGGCTGAGCCGCTTCCGTAGGCCAACAAGCAGAGGTTGCGGCATGGAGGAGACGTCCATGTTGTTGCCCAGATCGATCCAGGCTAAGGAGGGGAACTTGGCCATGTCCTTCATGGCATCGGTGAGGTCCTTCACAGTGGCTCGGGTCAAGTGGTTCCCGTTAAGGGAGAGGTGGGTGAGGTTGGGCAGCGACCGCAGGAAAGGCATCAGGAAGCGCATCTCCTCATCCTTCAGGTCGGTGAAACTCAGGTCGAGGGTGAGAAGGGGGCCCCCTCTGTCCTGCAAGTAGCTGGCCAGATGCTGGATGTCGTGTGTAGAGAGAGGGACTCCAGAGAGATGGATGGCTTCTTGGCTGAGCTTCTTCTGCAGGCTACTCTTCAGACTAAAGAAGAAGGAAAAGAGAAGCAAGGGGCTTCAGAAGGAAGGGCTACTCCCTTTAGAAAACTGGGTGTGTGCAGAGGGGGACAATACGCAATGGACCACAAATGCTGCAGCTGGCCTGCTTGGGTTGGATTTGTGTTTGCATGACAGCATTGCCATAGGCCGGTCTAAGTCTGGCATCACCATTGTTTGCTACAGGATGAGCCAGCTATTTTGGCCAAGCCATCCCTCTCCATTGGTATTGAGTAACTTTTATGCAGAGGTCCTCCGGCCCAAGATTGGAGCGGGGGAAGGGATTACAGCATTAGACACAAAATAAGTGCTTGCAACTGTTCCACCCACTGGATCCAGTTTTCCATCCTCCTGCCCAGGTGGGAGAGCTGTGTGCTGCATTTGCTCTGTGTTCTGGCTGCCTGGGAATGGCCCTGGGGGCTTGCCTTGGCCGAAGAGGGGCAGAATGACATGGGGGGGGAAGGGGGCAGCTTTGGCTGAGCTGTTGTCTTTGCAACAGTAAAGTCAGTAACCATGGTTCCTGAAATAGGAAGAAGGGGTGTTCAAAGCCACTGCATGTATGAATGCTTGCAAGGAGCAAGGATTCTAGAGATGCAGCTTCACACAATTTGTGATTCAGTATGTTGTGGGTGGAAATCCAGGCCTTGTGTGAACTAGGCTATCGCATTATGTCATATTATGATATGTTTGGAAGGCCGCTTGTTTTGTTACTTTGGATTTCATCTATTGTGGGAATTGAGCACATGTCACACCCTCTAAAACTGGTGTCCTCCTGGCTCCTGCAACCACCAACCAAGGACTTCTGTAGCCCACCATTCCTGCTCACCTGCTGTGGGATTTGCGATGGCGCAGCCCAGATCGATGCCATTTAGAATGTGGACTCAAGTGGTAGATCAGTTGCCGGCAAATCCGGTCAGAGGATTTCCACGGATCGTATTCCTGAAAGCAGGGAAGTGGCAGCCATCGGCAGGGGCCCTCTCAGTTTGCAGAGCTGACAGCCCCACATTGGCATCCTTTCCTCACACCCTGAACTCTGCCATTGAGGGCTCTCTGGGCCCTGGGAGATGCCCAACCTGCAAGCTCAGCCCCCAGTCAGCTGCTTTGCCTTTCCAAAGGCTTGGGTGAATATCAGCCAGGAATCAAAGAACTCCATGCAACCATCGGGGGCCATGCCAATCATCCCTTGCAGGGGGCCCTGTGAGATCAGAGACCTTTGCCAGGAGGGGCTCGGAAGGGCTGAAGGGACCCCAAGATATGGAGCTGCTTCCCTGTCTCTCCAGCTGCAATCGGCAGCCCCAGCCCCCCAGGCAGCATCAGGACATGCCCCCGCACTCCCGCTGGCCCTTCTCCACAGGAAGGGGACACCAGAGCACAGTGTGTGTGTGTGTGTGTGGCAAAGAAAGGAAGGGCAAGGGACAGAAAGCAGCCAGGGGTCTCCTGCTAGTCCACGGGGGAATCCACCCAGCCCTTGGCCAGAATCAAAAGCACAGCTGGCAGAAGCAGATCCTACTGGACACGCTGGCTCAGGAGAGCCATGAGCAAAGGTCACCACCAATGGAGCCTCCCTCTTCTATTCCTCAATAGCAGCTGGGAAGGAGAAAGCAAACCGGCAGTCTCCAAAGACTTTTCATTGGTTCCCCCCCTCCCCAGTGCAACGTGGGACAATTCCATGTGCCCCTGATGTTTTGAAGTGCAGACTCCAAAGCCAAATCTGGGATAAGGAAGACAATGGCTGCAGTATCCGGGGAGGACGGGCAAGGTGGGGCTCTGGGCTAGCTACCTCGCCCTTCCCTTTTTCTCTTAATGCCTGGAGGAGGCGGAAGGGGAAGGGGGAGAATCAGGATCTTTGCTGAAAAGCAACAAGGATTGTGTGGCTGAAAATACAGACAGGAGAGCCACATCAGCTCTGCTCTTGTTCAACAACAAGGCCTGGACTTCTTCAAGAACTGGTTGTGCATAAGAAATAAATCCCTCCAATATGGGATCTCCCTAGCTATCCAAGAATTCCGACTTTCAGGAGGGCTTGACTCTACTAGATCATTTTCGTTCTTCCACCTAGGCTCTGCTCAGAAATCCAGAGATCTCAAGCCAAATTTTGGAGCCCCTAACTATAATAGGACTTTTGTACCTCTTAAAAGAAGAGCAGAGTAATCTGAATGTTTTTAAATCTAAAAAAATCTAGCAAGTCTCTACTGAAGGCCAGCCTCAAAACCTTTCCTTTTCATCTGCCAGCCTGTCCTGCCTCTGCCTCTCTTTCATCCAGTGCAGGAACACCAAACACTGCAGCCATCAGGCCCAGCCATCAGACCCAGAGATCTAAGTGCCTGGTGGCGCTCACCTTTTTGGGGCACTGCAGGTCTCTGGCCAGGTTCATCAGGAGGTCGTGGGAGATGGGATCCACCAGGTTGAGGAAGGTGGCCTTCTTATAGAGCACATCATTGAGGAACGTCCCCTCCAGGCCAAGGTCCTACGAGCAAAGAGCGAAAGTGGCTTAGAACTGGGGGGCACTGGACAGGGAAACCCCACATACCACTGGCCAGCAAGCAAGGCAGGCCTCTGGAGGGTGAGGCAGGGGTGAAATCCAACCAGTTGGGACAGGTTCGGGCGAACCGGTAGTGGACATTTGGCCTGGGTCGTTGAACTGGTAGCAACCGCTGGCTGGCCGCGCCCCCAAACCGGTCTCCCGGTCGCTGCTCGCTCACCCGCCCCGCCCAGTCTCTGTTATGCAGCTTGCCTGCCCAAAGCGCTGCACCCCAATTGAGCGGCCCTCATCTGCCTGCCAGATAAGCCTGCGAGTCGCAGCCTAGCTAGCTGCCCCTGCCCCACCCGTCCCAACCTGCCACCTCTACTCCCTTCCCCGCAGACTGCAGCCCTGCCATGCTTCCCTGCCACGCACGCAGCCTTCCCGGCATCCCCGTGGCCAGCTTGCAAAGGCAGGCAAGCGGAAGGACACGTGGAAGGGAGGCAAGTATGTAGGGGCTGTGGGCCATGCGGAAGGGAGCTAGCAGCCTACTCCCTTCCCCGCAGCCCTGCCATGCTTGCTTGCCTTCCACGTGGCCTTCCCGGTGATCCCCCACGCCCCCTTGCCTTCTGAGGCCCTTGGTGGAAACACAGACACTGCGCTGGGGCTGAGAGGGGCGGCGATGCTCTGGGAGGGCAGGCAGATGTCCCGGGGCTGCTGCACATGCGCCCATCCCGTTTCTGCAAAGGCAGAGGCCATCCCCTGCAGGGCGATCCAAAGAGGGAAGGGGGATGCTGCAGAAAAGGCTGCCTTCCATCTGGGCCCACGTGCCTCCCATGCTGGCTCTGCGGGGCTTGGGGCTCCGAAGCAACCCACTGGCTTCCCATCTGGCCACCAGCCTGCAGATCCCACCTCGCCATCTCTTTGCAGTTGGGCCCACTCAGCCTGCGGAGTCTAGTGCTCCGGGGGAAGGAGCGAGAGGTGCGGAAGCTACTGGTGGGCGGCTGGGTGGCAGCCTCCCACACAGGTAGAGGGCCAGGCCTGGCCGCGACACTGTGGAGCCCGCAGCACTTTTCCTTTGGCCTGGGCGGCGGCGCTTACACAAACAGGCCAGTGCGGGTAGCCCTTCATCCTGGCGAAGACCAGGTCGCCACACTTGTAGTCGTGTGCCCGGCCAGTGCAGGACATGGCACTGGCGGAGAGGCTGATGCAGCCCCCGCCAAGGCCGCCTGCCCTCCCGAAGCATCACCACCGCCATTCACTTTTGTTTCGTGGTGGGGGAAGGAAAAAAGTGTATGGCACTGCCACACTGGTGCTTTAGGAGGGCAGGCGGACCTCTGCAGCCAGGCAGGGAGGGAGAGTGGTGAGAGCAGCAGCAGCAGCCCCTTCCAAGCATAGCTCAAGAAGGCGGCCCCGGCGCACCTGTTGCTGGGGAGGCCTGGTGATCGCTCAGCCAGGACTCCGCAGGCCAAACTCCCAGAGTGGTGCCAGCGGTCGGCCGAGCCAATCTGCAAAGAGAGCAGGCAGGTGGCCGGGTGGAAAGCCAATGGGTTGCTTCAGAAGCCCAAGCCCCGTGGAGCCGGCACGGGAGGCACACAGGCCCGAGTGGAAGGCGGCCTTTTCTGTAGCATTTCCTTCCCCACTTTGGATCGCCCTGCAGGGGGTGGCCTCTGCCTTTGCAGAAACGGGGCGGGCGGTTTCTATGGAGGATTAGCGGGGGGGGGGATGCGTGGCCCTTCAGGATGGAGAGTGGGGCAAGAGAAAGCTCTGAGAATCGCTTGGGCAGTCAAGACAGATGGTGGAAGGAAACTCAAAGCGTTGAGGGCTTCAGAAGGGCAGAATGTGCTTCAGAATGCGCAGCTCCTGGCTCTAACAGTGAGTGACATGAGTGACCACCAAGCCACGCCCGCAGAACTGGTAGGGAAAATTTTTGGATTTCACCATTGGGGTGAGGATGCAGATCTTGTCATCCAGATGTGGGGTAGCCCCAGAGGCTGGAAAGATGGCATCCTTGCAGCTGCAGCCCCTAAAACTCTTTCAGATTCTCATCAGATCCTGGCCACAGTTCTTGAGGCAACTGAACCAACTGAATTTTTTGATGGAAAAAAAGGTCTGAGAGCAGCTGCCTCCCACCCCCATCAGGGCTTGCTTGGCAAAGCTGCTTCCTCCAGCATTTCTTCAAATCCTGGAATGCGAGTGGGCGGGGACTCATCTACCCTGTGCCACTGCCCACCCTTCCTGCTCTCGGTGTAGCGTCTCTCTGGACCAGGGCAACACTTTCTACTAAGAAGCAGAAAGGCAAATTCAGTGCACCCACAACTGACAGAGTCAAAGCAACTGACTGGGCAACACAATCGCTCTCCAGCAGTCACGCAAAGCCTGGTCTGCCCCATGGAAGTGGGCCTGGAAAGACTGGACCAACCCGACAGGGCTCTTTTGCTTGGCACTGCCCGGGGCATCACAATGCCCATGCAAGGGACCCCTAGGAGAGCCTCTTGCAACTGGCCCCACATCTGCCACATTTCTGCCTCTACGTTAGAGGACTTTTTTGGTGTTGGGGTGGAGGAGATCCTGAAATGTCAGCTAGTACAAAATCTTGTGAGTGTGTGTGCGATTGGACCCCACACACCCATGTCTGTATCGGTTGTTCCCCTCTGGGAGGAGGTTTTGAAGTATTTATAGCAGGATGACTAGGTTCTTCTGTAACAGCTTTGTTCCTTACGTCATCCATCTGTAAATTTGCAGGATTCTCCCCCCCCCCCCCATGTATACCTTGGAACTAGACTGCGATGTTTCCCTGTGTCATATATGTGTGTGCATGTGGATATATGCATGACGGTTATCCTTTGAGAGCTGAACCTAATGAAAGTTCATTGTAATGTATGCTGATTAGTGTACATTGAGAGTGACAATTAAGTTCTATTCTCTTGCACTGCCTTCCATTCCTCTTTGTCTGAGCCGCCTTCGGAGGCAGCCCGCAGCCCCCGAGTTGGAGACGCTCCCGCTGCCCCGCCTCCCCCAGGCCGAAGCGGCCCGCCGTCGGGTGAAGAAGCCAAGCGCCACGGCCGCGCTTTCGCCCCCATCCCCGCGGCCGGCCAGCGCTTCAGCGGCGCCGTTTCCATCCCGCCGGCCCGACCGACAGCCGCGCTCGGAGCGGGGCGGAGCTTCGCCGAGCCGCGGCCGCCCAGCTGGCTCTGCCGGAGAAGCGCCTCCCTCCCTCCCTGCCGGGCCTCGGACTCGCGGCTGCCTCGACCCCGAGGAAAGCAAAGGCGCGGCGCGCATCCCTCCCGCCTGGGCCGGGCTCACCTTCCGCAGCAGCCGCAGGAGCTGCACGGCCCGCTCGTGCTGGTGCTCGCGGAGGGCGGCCTGGATCTCGCGCAGCCAGCGCACCCGCCGCACGTAGGGCGCCGCCGGCCGGCTCTTGCGCAGCCCCGCCGGCCGCTTCTCCGAGCCCCGCAGCAACGAAGCCAGCCGGCAGTCCGGGCCGAGGCGGCGCGGCGGCTCCTCCGGGCGGCTCCTGCCGCGGAGGGAGCCCTTGGAGCGGCCGAGAACGCCCGTCGCCTCCGCGCCGCTCTGCCGGCTCAGCCGGGAGCCCATCGCCCGAGCCGCCTCGCCCGTCGCGCCGGGAAGCTGGCGGGGCTCGGGCGGCGCAATGCAGCGAGCGGAGCCCCCCTGCAGCCCTCCGCTCGCGGGACGCGGCTCTGGTTTTCCGGGCACGTGCCCGCGGCGCGCAGCCGGGGAGGAGCCCCTCCTCGGCCGCCTCTGTGGTCCCGGGGGCCGCGGCCCGGCAAGTGCCCTTCCCCCTCCCAAGCACTGACTTCTCACCTGCAGAGGCGTCTCCCGTCCCTGGCCGGTCTCCGCCCAGCCCCGCTCGAGGCGCCTGCTCCGCTGCCAGCACTAGGGGGTCACGGCTTAGGCCAGCTCGCTTTCCGGTGGGGGCGCAGAGCCAGGCTGGAGTGCAGGAAGGGAGGCTCCGCTTGATGGGCGCACCTGCAATGGAAGACTTGGGGCTCGGAAGAGTCTCCGGTGTGAAAAAGAGAAAAAAGAAGTCGGTTTTGGTTTGATATCAGGAAAAATGTCCTGAAGAGCCACGGAGCCGTTTAAACAGGCTGTGTGGTGCAACCGTGGGAGATGCTGGATTCCTGATTCTGGCAGGGTTGGACTTAATGATCTCGAAGGTCCCTCCGCCTCTTACATTGCATTGACTTCTTTTACTCAGTTTGCTTGGCCTAAGTTTACCGATTCTATAACCTATCCTCGCAGAGTGGCCCAGCCCTTTGGGCCGTCCTTTTCCCTTTCTTCAGCACCATGGGAGGGGGGGGGCTTGTTTCAGGTCTCTGAGCTCCTGGAATAAAGATGCCCCCTCTATTTTGCCCGCTGTACATTAGGGAGTGGCCACTCAGAACATCTGGAGCATATCAGCTGTGTGCTTAAGGGCGCCATACCATAGGTTTCAATGGTGTGTATAAATGTCATAAAATTTCCACTCTGCCTTTTTAGGCAGTAGACTAGAATGCCTTAAGATAATTAAGTGGAAGACCAACACACAAGAGAATTAAGCCAGAAAGGAAAATCCTCCATATTCTAGGAAAAACACTGGGAATTTGAGCTGGCCAAAACAGACTCAGTGCTGCAGCCGTAATTCTCACCCTGCAGCAGAAGTCTGTGCTCCCCAACCCACCTGAGGACCCCTCCCCCCATGGTTGCCAATCACATAATTGGATGTCAGCAAAGAGCGAACTCAGGGCTAAGACGCAGCAGGGGCCTCATTAGGTGAGGGTTCTGGAACCAGCATCATGTGGGGACTGTCTTGAGCCCCCTGCCCAGAGAGTGGTGGAATCAGCCAGGGGCTTTGGAGCAGATCCTTCACCAAGGCCAGGGAAGGATGAAGCAGAGGCTAACCGGGCTGGATTCTTGCAAGAGGGCGGTTAAGTGAGTTGAGCACCTCTGTGATCGCTTTCATCCTTTGTGGCCATTGGCAAAATGTGGTGATTTCATGTTGCAACTGCCTTCTCAAGAGTGCTAGCCGCTCAGGATTTAGCCAGGGCACAGAGGTGCCAGGCAAGTGCCCATTTAATTCCACCGGTCTCCTTCTTCAGGTGGGGAATGTTGGGTTGGCCTGGATTGCTTTTCTTTATGTCAGAAGGGATTTGAGCCGATTCTGGGCTACCCTTCACCCTATCAAGCACTGACTTCTTACCTGCAGAGGCTTCTTCCATCCCTGCCTGAGGGTGGTTCTACTGGTACCTGGAGGTCGCAGTGCAGGTAGGTTCAAAGTCTAGCAGAAGGAGAGAGAAGGTCACTTCCTGGTCTGGAACCAGGGAACTGACTCCCTGCTGGCTGGGCTGCTTCAGCCGGGGAAGAAGAGCATCACCAGAAGAGCAGGAAGACATCCCCATCCTGGGTCAGCTCAAATGGGGACATACAGCCAGAGACTCAGTTTGGGAGATGGCATCTGTCAAGGGCCGTTGTCCAGCTTAGTCAGGCATGCTCCCTCCTCCCCCGCCATGTGAACTGGCTGGCATTCTAGTGGCCCTTGATAAGTTGTTGAGCTGTCCTTCTGAGCAAACTGATCGTGAATTCTCTCTCTTCCCAACCATTGCCCTGGAGTGAAGGTGATGGACTGGAGCAGAGCCCGGTCCCATTGTAGGCTTCACCTGGGAGCCCTGGGCTGGGGGTCTGGGTGGCACCCTGGAGAGATCAAAGAAAGAAGCCATTTGGCCAGAGTGGACTTTTACCGCATGAAAGGAAGGCCATGTCCTCATAGCAAATGGAGAGAGAAATTAGTCACCTATAAACTCTTGGTGCTCACAAGAAGCTTTCCATAGAATAGAATAGAATTCTTTATTGGCCAAGTGTGATTGGACACACAAGGAATTTGTCTTGGTGCATACGCTCTCAGTGTACATAAAAGAAAAGATACATTCATCAAGAATCATAAGGCACAACACTTAATGATAGTCATAGGGAACAAATAAGCAATCGAATCATATTAGGAAACAGTCAATATAAATCTTAAGGATACCAGCAACACGGTTACAGTCATACAGTCGTAAGTGGGAGGAGATGGGAGAATATTAATAGTAATGCAGACTTAATAACTAGTTTGACAGTGTTGAGGGAATTATTTGTTCAGCAGAGTGATGGCGTTTGGAGAAAAAACTCTTCTTGTGTCTAGTTGTTCTGGTGTGCAGTGCTCTATAGCATCGTTTTGAGGGTAGGCGTTGAAACAGTTTATGTCCAGGATGCGAGGGGTCTGTGAATATTTTCACAGACTTCTTTTTGACTCGTGCAGTATACTGGTCCTCAATGGAAGGCAGGTTGGTAGTAATTGTTTTTTCTGCAGTTCTAATTATCCTCTGAAATCTGTGTCTGTCTTGTTGGTTTGCAGAACCAAACCAGACAGTTATAGAGATGCAGATGACAGACTGAATAATTCCTCTGAAATGGCTGATGCCTTTTGCCCTTCCTCCCCTTCAGTTTCAGCCCTAAGGGCGATGCTGGCTGTGCCTACTGCACAGATGCCCAGCAAGGGCTATTCTGCCCAGGTAGATCTGCACCCAGCCACTCTTAATGCCAAATGTCAGCAAACCCTTCCCAGCTCATCCACCCCGTTGGCAGAACGTATTTCAGCAGGGGTCTCATCTTACTGGTTATTACGGGATACCTCAGCTGAGACTGGTACAAGAGGTCCCAAAGGGTTACAGTAACAACAGCCAAAACAAAGTCGGTCAGTGTTTTGCTTCAGTTGGCCAGAGTCCAACTGGCATTTTGTCTACGGATCAGGCTTCACCTGGTTGCTGGTTCACCTGGTTCACAACACTCCACATCGCACAAGGATCTCGCCCATCCTCCCTCCCATTCCAAGCCAACTTCCTCATAGCGAAGCTGTTGTTGTTTTGGAAACTAGGCGGTTGGAACTTCCCTGACAGACGGTGAGCTGCCATTTTCTCGTTTCTGTCAACACCTAATTGCGGGTTTCCTCTCCACCTTCCACTTCTGTCTCAGTCAGCCTGAACCTAGAGCCTCTCAGACATGGCTGGTCCCTGCTTTGGGTGGCAGAACATTTGAAAACCTCCCAGTGCAGCCCTTGGGAGAGCGAGCAGCCCACTGGTGGGACTTTGGACTTTATCCGAGCCAAGAATAAAGTTGCTATCAATCAGTGTAGACACGCTTAGATGAAGACTTTACATATATGTGAAGAAGTTTCATTTGCCAAATGTCTCTCGTGGAGGCCCCTCCCTACGTTGAGTCCGTGAAGTCCAGCATCAGCCGGCTCTTTGGTGCTTCTTTGAGGGTGCTTTGAAGGGGCGTCTGGCGAGTGGAGTAGTTTCAGGAGGTGCCAGAAGAAGCCCTCTCAGACTGCCCCATGGCTGACCCCCTTTCCAGTCGCCACAGTTCTTGACTTCCAGCCCGTGTTGAAAGAGGGGAAAACATGCTGCCTCAATGTGTCTTTTCTCACTGGCCCATAATGAGCTGCCTCTTTCTCATGTTGCAGCCACCTGGTGTTCCCTTCCTCTGGTCTTCCTCTTTGCTGTTCTGCTTTGGGCTGCGGAGACGATCTGCCCACCACCAACTGTTTGGCCTCTGCTCTGGTCAGAGGTCAGTCCTGGTTCCATTGGTTTGTGCACACACACACACACACAGAGCCTTTCTGGTCACCAGGCCCCATCTTCCCGGCCCATTCAGGACTCCTGTGTCTGGGGCCAGACTGACTCACGTGGAACCAAACCATTTGATAGGCACCTCCAGCCACTCCCAGGCAGGGTTAAGGAGACTGATGGGTGGATGCTTCCCTTACAGCTGACGATGAGGGAAGGGGAAGAATAAAGTTTAGGAACGCCCCCAGCCCTCTGCTCAACATGGCCAATGCCTGAGAATGAGGCTGGCACAGTTTGTCACACTGGTGCCGCTGCAGGCTCAGGGCTTGCCAGTGGGCAGAGACAGAATGCCAGTGGGGTTTTCTCCTTCAGGTCTGGCAGACTGCCCCAGAGGGCTGCAAGGGGGCTGCAGATGGCTTGAGCCGACTCACTCACAAAGGGAGGCACCTTCATTCCACAGGTAGAAGAAGGCGGGCAAGACCCACCTTTGATTTGAATTTACATTAGCAGCTCTATTATAATTGCAATGGATCTTAATCGACTCAGCAGGGCAGGGAAAGCATCCTTCTTGGATTCCAGTCTAGCGAGAAGGAAAAATGGAACCTCTTTTCAGCTTCCCGGCTAAGAGTCGGGCCATGGAGCCTCCTGCCAGCCCACAGGGCTGGCTTGGGGTCTTCCCTTTTCTCTGGGCCCCCAAGTCTCCTTTCATAGGGTGGGAGAATCCTAGAGTTGGAAGGGCCCATGGAATCAGCCCAGTGGTGAGTTGCTCCCAGTTCGGTCCGGTTCTATAGAACCAGTAGTAAAACCGGTGGGAGGCTCCAGCCACCCGCCACAACATCATGAGTGATCTGCACATGCGCAGAAACTTCTGCACATGCAGGTGCGCGCTCCCGTTGCCAACTGGTAGTAAAGGTAAGTAGAACCCACCCCTGAATCAGCCCCTCCTGCCAAGGAGAGCCGTCCTTCTCTGCAGGGTGGCTTTGCTGCTCTTTTGCAGCCAGGCAGGAAGGGAGCTACCCCTTCTTCAGCCGAAAACAGGAAACTGCTTTCCTTGGGATGCTCCTCCAGATCCCTCAAAGGGCTGGTTCTGGCACTTTTGATCCACCCCAAACTGTGCCCTTCTGGCCTTTCCCTGTGAGGTGCAGCCCAGAGGCAGGGCATGAAGTCCAAGACCTT